AATCTCCTCCTCCAAATCATCCTCGCCTTCGCCAGCGGCTGACGCAAGCTGCCTCTCGGCCTCCTTTTCGCCCACAATACCGCGCCAGAGCGCCTCCAGCTCGTCGCCCCAGCCAAGCAGGGCAGCAAGCTTACGAACCCCAGCATCGCACGTCCCCAACTCAACAACGTCATCCGCCCTGCGACCCATCTGTCCCACCCGTTCCCTGTTGAGCAGCAACCGCGGCACGCCAGATTTCGAAGCCTCGGCCAGACCAGCAAAGGGGTAGACCGAGAGACTCGTCCCCATGACCACAATCAAATCAGCCACGGCGGGCAGATGTGTATTATCGCGGAACGCCTCCGGCAGCGCCTCCCCAAAGAAGACGATATCCGGCTTCACGAGCCCGCCGCAGGAATCGCACTTGGGCACGTTTTCGTCCTGGACATGCTTCTCCATCCGGTCGGCGGGGAAGGGGTCCTTGCACTCGATGCAGCGCTGGGTGGCAAAGCTGCCGTGCGCCTCGATGATCTTGTCGTCCGGCACGCCGGCACGCCTCTCGAGGCAGTCAATGTTTTGTGTAAAGTTCATCTGCAGGAGACCCTTCTTCGCGAGCAGGGCGATGAAGGCGTGAGAGACGGTGGGGTGGAATTTGCCCGGGTAGAGCTCTTTGGCGAGGTAATAGAAGGGCTCGGGGTGCTTGCGGAAGTAGGAGATGTCGAAGACGGCTTCGGCGTAGGGGAGGTTCAAGCGGGCTAAGTTGGCGTAGAGGCCGGTGCCGGGTGATCTGAAGTCGGGGACTGGGTGGTGATTGTGTTAGAAACTTGCGCAAACTTGGTCTCAATCGTCAAGGGAGGGCGCATACTGCCAGCGGCTGTGGAGATTCCGGCGCCGGTCATGACGGCAATCTTTTTCGCATCGCCGGATTTGATGTAATCAGCAATGGCCTCCAGCGAGCGCGACTCGAGCGTCTTCGGCTGGACGCTGTCGTCCAGCATCGTCGACTCCTCGTTACCCATCTTCTTGCGCGGCCGGTTGGAGTTGGGCCGGCCCTTGGGATGCTTCTCGCGGCGTCGGCGGCCTATGATGGGCAGGTTGGCGGTGTTGGTGGGTAGGGGTGGCGGGGAGAAAAAGTCAGGTCGTGCGGTGCGAGTTGCCGTCTATCTTACTGTCGAAGAGAGAGAAGTATACCAAAAGCGCCTGAGGTATTTGTCGTGTACTATAAGAGGAGCTCTAGGTTTGTGTTTCGGTCAATGTGCGAGTGTAGCCTAGAGTGGATGGATGGTAGGTAATAGGCAGCTATCTGCCTCGCCGGCGACTCATAAAAAAGTCGTTGGTTCGTTTCGCCGTTACATCATGCGGCGACCCCACCCCCGCTATCCCTCAGCGTCGTGCTCGGGCGTTTGGAGCTCTTATCGTTATCAGATGAGCCCTACAGCGGTGCGGACATCGCGGGCCAAGACCGGGAATACGGGCATGTAGCTTGGAATGGTCAGTCAATGTCCATTGGGTGTAGATTCTCATCTACCTGATCATGACCTCGAGTCTTGCCATCTCCCTTCTTTACTCGCAGCAACTTTTTCATCTAGATGAATTTACCTGTTGTACTTTTTCAGACAGAGAAATTGAGGATGACGAGAAATTGAGGATAACTGTATTTGGTATAGGCATCTCTCTATTCTAATGGACATGTATTCCGTGCATCGACGTCTATCCCTCTAGACAACAACAAGGTAGGTATCTATCGAATCTTGTCTCTAGGCAAACGATAGGCAAACGCGATCGCAGTACCAGCAATAGCCATGACAGTCGCGGCCATGTACGGCAGACCGAGCCATATGCCTCCTGCCGAGTTGCCAGCTTTCAGCAAGCCCGAAATCACCGGAGCCGAAACCAGCAGGCTCACTTGTTCCACCCAGGTGATTGCCGTGTTTAGGGTACCTATCGTGTGCGGCTCGACTACGGCGTTGAGGATGGCTCGGCAAATATTTGTGTAGACGGTGCCCATGGAGAAAACGATGAGGGCTGATGTGAAAGATCAGCATATCTGGGTGATTGAGGACCGGAACCAGCCCGATACAGATGGCAAGATAAAGAAGGCAAACATACCAGTAATTAGAAACCAAGGCGCGAATGCAGTGGCGACCATGAAGCACCCGACAGCCAGGAGGATGCCGCTCATTCGGGTGAGCCAGAGATCCCGAACCAGAGGATGCACTCCCGTACGCTTGGTGATCAGCCAGCTCAGCGCGGGGAGAATGGCGAGCAGCATGACCATGTTTGTAACCGTCGAGACAGTTCCCAAGAGCGTTGCCTGCGTGTCGCAACGATTTGTCAGATGACGAACCCCGTGGTGTGTGCCTGAGACAGCGCGACATCGACTTACTTTTGCCCAAGACCAGCCCAGCAAGTTGTGCACGTATTGCGACATGATGTCTATCTTGACATACTTTACGATAACTGTGAGATTGAAGCCGAGGACGAGGGAAATTACGCTCTTGGACTTGATCAAAAAGGTGTAGACATGGCCCATGTCGTTCTTCACGGCGAAGATGATCTGCTGCTTGAGTGTGCGCTTGTCCCTCGCGTCTTCCTCGGACCGCGAGAGTGTCTGCTCGACCTCTTGATCAGCGGCGCGGCGGAGCTCCAGGGTTTCTGGGATGAAAGGCGGCAGGCATGTGCCGATGATTAAGAGGACCATGCCGACGCTGAGAGGCAGCCATGGGTTCTTGCTCAATAGATAGGCGCTGAGAGGCGCAACTACAAGCTCTCCCGCAAGCGCGATTGCGCCAATCTTGTAGTAAACCGCGGTCCTATCACACGTGAGCTTCTGAATGACTGATCTCGGCAATGGACAAATCTTACAGGCTGGAAATGGGGACGACGTCAGAGATCATGGTCCAGGTCATGGCTTGAATCATGCCTGCGCCTCCACCTATGAATTGGAAAGCTGCTCCAAACCACATGGTCCAAAGAGGGAGAATATTGGGCCACAGAACTGTCTAATGAGCAATTTTCGCCGGTAGAAGAGGTATGTTCATAACCTACGGGGCAGCAGCATCCAGGCAAGCTCCAGCGTAATACCTAGCATGGCTAAAGATAGGACTGGTCGGCGGCCATACTTGTCTGCAATAACTCCGTAGGGAATCGCAGTGAGCAATGCTGCGAATACAACAATTAGCCGGCGCTGACAGTTGGGGTTGGAGGGCGGGACATACACGGGACGCAGTCGAATGAGTTTTGCCAGCCTTTAATCATGGCTAGCTGGCCTTGTACATCCGGCCCTTTGCATACATCGTCATCCTCGGCCGAGATGATGTGGTCGGGGTAGCGTTGGCGACAGATAATTTCTTCCATGAGCTGATATGAAGGCGGGATCTGAAGATAGGCGCCAACTTCGACGATAAGAATAAAGGTCATTGCCAGACCAATGACCTTTAGCTGGTATCTACGGCTTGGGGCGACTGTGGGTGGCAAGTCGTGTGACAATAACGGCGTCTCTTCTTCAGGCCTGCTTTCGATGTCGCCATTGCGGTCGTCAACCGCTTTAGTGGGTGCCATCTTGATCTTGGAGCATATGTCGTCCGTGACGACTAAAGAGTGTTTAGAAAAGACGAGGAAGCCGACAAAAGAAAGAAAGTTGCATATTTTAAGGGAGTGTGAAGAAGTATAAGTCTGTGGTGAAGCCAGAGTCTCAAGCATCACCAGGCGCGGTGCCGAGGGAGGTGGATTGGTCAATCCTTCCCGGAGAGGAAGGTCGATGAATGAGATGCAAGCGTCGCGTGGCTAACCAGTCGGCGGCCTTAAAGTGTAATACGGAGGAATTGGACCCTGGTCGTGGACCGCTCAAGTTGGCCAGTCCCTGTGGGCACGCTGAACCAACGACAAATGCGAGTCAGACTGCCTGCTGGACGTCACAGAGACTCCCCTCCGATTTGATAGACATGACAAGGAAGGTTCTATGATAGCACGTTATCGTGTGCGGACCCAAACTTGCAGTGATGTTCCTCGCTGGCCTGTTATGTCTGGCGCAAGTACGTATCCGTACGGCGTTGACACTAGTGGTCGTTTGGGCTGGATCCGACCGGTTGGTAATCCAGGCGGCGCGTCCTCGCCTGCGTGCGGAGTACCGCAGCGCATGCAGTTAGTCGCGGTGGGAACGCAACGTCAAGGGCCTCGTGCGTCTTACACTCATCGGCGCAATAGAAACCCGAAGATGCAAGTTTGCTCGTTGGTTGGCCTTGACGTCGTGTGTGCCCTTCCAGAAGCGATAACGATTTCGTGTGTTTCCCCCGTTCTCTCCCTCTCGAATGCGTCTTTCGGAAAGCTTTCTCCGAGTACTCTTCGATGATCAGTGGATGGGAGGTTCGTCCAAACGTCCATGACCGTAAATCTCCCACTTCGATCCAGCGAGTACTTCATGGGCAGGGGTCCCTTGGACATCTCCAGGCTTGGGACGGTGCCCAAAAGCTTATTAGCGACTGACGTGGTGACGCGTCCAGGAACGTTGAAATAAAATGCTACCTTACGAGGCTAAGACAGCGTTCTCGGACCGAGGCCGCTCTTATTCAATCCGTATCGCAAGACAAAACGTCTCAAGGGCGGAAGAGGCGTCCCTAATGCCGTTGTTGCACGCTCCGGGATCCTTGCTGAGAGACTGAATGAGTGGTCGACATTCTGCCTGGGCGCATCGTTTGGAGAAGTCTCTATGCGACCATATGTCGCGAACAGGGTACTCAAGCCAAATTTGATGATTGTAGTCGAACATCTGTCGTTCAAGATTGATACCGGTTACTTCCCGCCTTCCTAAGGATACTCTGGTGGAAAGCGTTACCTACCTTACGCGTGCTACGCAGGCAAGAGCTGCGTGATGACTAAGTGAGGTGACCACCGCGGGGTGGCGAGCACCAGCCAGCCACGGCGGCAGTGACAGAAGCTACCCCGCCATCCCGCCGAAGCTCCGACGCCTCTCCTCCAACTCCAAGCCTAAGATACCTTACGTTAGCATCAACACGTCCACAATGTCTGCCAAAGTGACCGCCACCGGCCCTCTGGTAAGCCAACACAACTGACTCCAAGCAATCTACTATTCCGTATGCCCTATCTGACCCATAGAACCGCAGGGCGAGGGCGAGGCTCGCTGGATCAAGCTCATCAAGATCAACTACGACGACCAGAACGGCAACTCCCGCACCTGGGAATCCGCCGAGCGCCGCACCCGCCCAAAGAACGGCGAGATTGACGGCGTCGGCATCGTCGCCATCCTCGAGAAGCCCACCGGCCCCGAGATCATCCTCCAGAAGCAGTACCGCCCGCCGATTGACAAGATCTGCATCGAGGTTCCCGCGGGGCTCGTGGACGAGGGCGAGACGGCCGAGCAGGCTGCCGTGCGCGAGCTCAAGGAGGAGACGGGATACGTTGGCAAGGTGTCCGAGACCACGCCGATCATGTTTAATGGTATGTAACATCTCAAACAACTCAATTCTCTCCTTAGCTCAGGCGCAGCTGACGTCGATTTGCCTTCAAGACCCCGGATTCTGCAATACCAATCTCCGCATGATCCACGTCACCATCGATACCTCCCTCCCCGAGAACCAAAACCCAAAGGCCGAACTGGAAGAAGGAGAATTCATCGAGGTCTTCACCGTGCCGCTGTCCAACTTCTGGGCAGAGTGCATTCGTCTGGAGAAGGAAGGCTACGCCATCGATGCCCGCGTGGGGACTATTGCCGAAGGCATTGAATTAGCAAAGAAATTCAAGCTATAATGATGATGCATGCCCGAGACCTTGTATCCCCTTCATCGTGCCGCCACAACTCATAGCTTGCCCTCGCGCCGGAGTCCCTCCCAAAGAGCCACAGCCGCAAGACACTTTGCATCCCGCGCGCCCTCCCGCCACAGATCCTTCATCGGCACCAGCTTCAACGTAATCTTCTCTCCGTGATCCCGCAGCCCAGTCAGCTTGCCGCTCCACTCCTTCAATTGCTCGCGAGGGATCCTCTTCTCGTGGCTATACAGCGTCACGAACTCGTCACAGCCGCCGGCAGAGGGGTACATCGCCTCTGCTAAGCCCTCATCAGCTTCGTTCCCAGATGATCTGCCCGCGCCGGCCAGCTCGCTCAGGCACGTCAGTTTCGATTCGTGGATCTCCAAGCCCAGCTCCTCCTTAATTTCTTTTGCCGCCGCGCCTGCGAAGCTACCGCTGTCGTCGACCATGCCGGCGGGTAACTCAACAAATGACAGGCTACCGACCGGGACGCGGGGCTGCACCGTCAGTACGACATAGCGCTCATCGCTGTCGGGCGGGGCGTCATCGGGGATGAGCATCACCAGCATGCCGACGCTGGGTCCGCGAAGGAATATGCTGGCTGGGAGACCCTCTCCCGCCTCATTCTTGACATCAGCCCTCACCTTGAGGAAACCGACGCGGCCGGATCCAAAGATGTCAAAGGCCTGAACTGTGATGCCGCGTAGGCGGTAGGGGTCTTGGTGGAATGGGTGGTCTTTGCTCTTGGCTTGTAGGCTTAGGGAGTTGTTGAGGCCCTTGACCCAATCCTAGTTTGACAGTCAGCGCTGTTCCTCGTCCTTGAAGGGAGAACACTAGAAGTAGCTTCACACGTTAAATGGTCGGAAACCTAGTAGTTGGTCTTCCGACAGGCCATTAGGCAGCTCGACCTGGATACCGCTGTCTTTCAGTGTGACTGTCGACATGGTTCGGGTAATGATGGCTGAATGCGCAGTTGGAATGCTTGGTCGTATGAGAGTTGATCGGAAATCATTCAGTTTTGATCTCGGGTTGAGACCACTTTGTCGAAACAGAAGCGCGGCGACTCTCATCTCAATGAGATGGTCGTGGAGTGTTGACGAAGATGAATTGATTGACGTCAGATCGATGAAGGGGATTGGCGGGGCTTCCTCCGTCTTACCTTAGTGCCTGCCGGAAGAGCTTTGACCGGGGTTGTGGAGAGCTTATCCCTGCACAACCCGGAGGCTCGCTAGTTGTTGATCAACGAAAGCTAAGGTACCTAGTATGTTAAGCACACCTGATGCTCAATTGGCAAGCCTATAGCTGGGTCCGTCCCACTCGCCGTTTAAATTCTTTATTTTCCTCTGTTCTCTCGTTGTTAGGTCCTTGATAATCGCATTATTTACTTCAGACAAATACACGCTTTAGCATCTAGCCCACGATGTGTAGAGGTAAGCGAGTTGTCTATGGTCCAGCTCATTCCTGCTTCATATGAAGCCCTGCGCTACGAGCGATGGTGCCACAATTCTGAATCATCCTTACGGGGTCGCATTATCTTGACTGGAAGGTGCTGGCAGACTGGTGATTCCACATTAGATGACTAGGACTGCGCAAAGAGCCTATATATACCCCTTCAATCTCATTCCTGTCACCAGCAACAGCAGGCGCCTTCCTAGGTCGGTTGGTGAGGACAAACTGGCTGGGTGGTGGAATGTTTTAAAGATCGACAATACCCCCTGACAGCCTAATCGACTGGCTACGAGTTCGAGTCCGCATACGATCCCAGCATGAGCACTATAATAATCGCCAGGAGATGTAGCCACACCGGTGGTGAACTTCCTTTTTGCGTGCGGTTAGGTATCGTTGTGACGAAGTCTGTCCTAAGGTAGGTAAGCTTCTCGGCAGCATCAGCAGAACAAGAGAGAGAAGACCAAATGTCGGCTACAGGAGAAGCCAGGAGACCAAGAGAACCAGCCCAAAGATTTGTAATCGTCGATGCTTTTCCTACCTAGATGCTATACACGGCTACATACGCAAGTGGAACATTCCCCATAGACAGAAAATTTACCTCAACTCCAACAACCTTTTACATGTTCGCGTTCGCCGAACCGCTGGCCTCCCTCTTGGCTGATTTATCCCAGGAAATTTTTCAAGTTCCCGCCAATGTTCTTTAAATCCAACAGGAACGTGTCGTGTCCAAAGAAACTCATCTCCTCACTCAGCTCATAGTGCGCAACGTTCCTGTTGCCCGCGAGCTTCAATGCCTCGGCCACTTCCCTCTGCTGCCACGCGGGGAAGAGGATGTCACTCGCCACACCAATTACGAGAGCAGGAGTGTCTCTCAGAGGCGCAAGGCCCGCAATGAGGTCTTCAGGCGGCCTGGAGGACACCTCGACGGACTGATCGGCCGTGCCGGCGTTGGATTCTGGCTGCTCCACGTAGGGCTTCTCGGGCAGCGTAAGACTGCAGGCGGCATCATTACGCGCGGGCGACTCGCCAGACTGCAGAAGCTTCTCGCGCTCTGCTCTCCTCGCGTTGGCAGCGAGCTGGTTCTCCCTCCCCAAGTCGAAAAGATCCATCGCCTTGCTGACATAGAGCAGACTATTAGGATCGTACGTCAAGCAGAACTTTTCTCCGGCGTGATCGAGGTACGTTTCGATCAAGAAATCAGGGCACAGCGCAGGCGGCTTGCTCGAGTCCGCCCTCCGCCTGCCGAACCTCTGCTCCCACTCCGGTCCCGACCGGTACGTGACGGTCGCAATCTCGCGCGCGAGCTTCATTCCCGCGTGCGGCGGCACTTTGCCGTAGTAGAACCCTCTGTTCCAGTTCGGGTCCATCATCAGCACCTGCCGCTGCGTGTGGCGCATCGCGATGCTGTAAGGGTGTGACCGGGCGCAGCCGCTGATGGAGACGATCCGGCCGACGCGGTCCGGGAAGAGGACGCCTGCACCCAGCGATTGCATACCGCCCATGCTCGAGCCGACGCTGGCGTAGAGCTTGTCTACGCCGAGGCCGTCGAGGAGGCGGAACTGCGCGCGCACCATGTCCTCCATGGTCAAGATGGGAAACCTTGTCGCGTACCGCTGTCCGTCTGCTGGGTCGATACTGCTCGGTCCTGTTGAGCCATAGCAGCCTCCTATTACGTTTGTGCAGATGACGTGGTATTTATCGGTATCTAAAGCCAACCCCGGTCCGATGAACTTCTCCCACCAGCCGGGGTTGGGGTTGCTCTCTGTCGAATGCGCGTGAGACGACGCCGAGAGGCCAGTGTGCAAGAGAATGACGTTGGACTTGTCAGCGTTCATCTTGCCCCACGATTCATATGCGATGTCGAATTCAGGTAGAACACCGCCCCAGTCGAGCAGGAGAGGGTCCTTGCAGTGGTATACTTCTGTCGCGCCGGCGGTATAAGACGGCTCGGGGCCGCTCGATTCGTACCGTGCTTCGAGGCTCGCGGATCGGTTCTCGAGAGCGTCAAGGCATGGAAATGCCATTGCCGGATTTGACGCATCGCCGGGGCTGTTCGAAGCCTTCCGCGCCGGCTTGGAGTGGAACTGGTGGGCGCATTGTCGGTTGCCAAGAGGAGCTGCCGCCGCGACTTTGGAGCTCCGGAAAACGGAGGGAGCTTGGACGCGCGATGCTGGTGCGCGGGCCTGGCGAAGGGCCTGCGAGGCGATTCTTTGGCACTTCATCACAACAAATACTGACGAAAAATTGGCAATTGGGAATTATGAAAGGTCCGGGACCATCTTTCAGGTCACTTGCGACAGAAATATCGACGCCATCGGCTCTCGGTTTGTAAGCGGGAGCTCCTCCGGTGACGACCCATTGTCTTCAGTCAGTGGCTAACGATGGTGTAATTTCACGTGATACTGACCGATAAGGAATGCTTATCGCATCGAGCAGGGGTCCTGTCAGTGACATTTCGCAACCCCACCATCGGGTCCATATCCCCACTGACGTCAATTTAAAGCTGCAGGCCTCCGTGCACCGACCCCGAAATGAACCTTTGAAGTTGCCATGAGCTGACGTCGCCTTCCCACGTACTTAGGTACCACAACCACAAGATCCCTACGAAACCGGCGCCTTCACATCTTCTTACCCCTCTTCCCACCATTCCTCTTTCTGAGTTTCCCAGATATCCCTCCTGTGTATCCGTACATGTCTTTCTTCTCCCAATTCCAACAATACGCCGGGACCTTTGCAACAGTAGCAGCCGGTGCCATCATCGCTAGAGCCGTCGGCATCATGCAATCACACACCCGAGACGACCAATCCGGGCCAAGCCCGCAGGAGCCCGGGAATTACAAGCCCTCGCACGTCGATGTCATCGTTGTCCGCGTCATGCTCGAAAAGGCCTTCAACTTCCCTCCCGAAATTCTAGACCTCATCATCGACCAGGCCGAATACTGGCCGCATTCCGAAGCCAGCATCTACCACGCAGTCACCCCCCTCCGCGATGCCCTCCGTGTCGTAGGCACCACCAGAGACGAGAACAAGTTCATCCTGCGGTGTCCCCCCATCGGATTTCTCGACTTCAAAAAGGTCGGCCCGGCATTCAAGACCGCGCCGCTGCCGCCCAAGTCGGGCGATGGGTCCCCCGTTACGGAACCGCTCCGCAACCTGACGCTCCTCGAACCCACCTCAAGCCCCACCGAGATCGTCTCCGAAGCCCCGAGAGAATACTTTACGGGGTCCATGAAGGCGCCGCCCACTCTGACCCACCCGGTGCGGAAGATCGTCTTCAAGTTGCGGAGTAAAGATCAAGGTTGGGGTGGCGGACACGGTGATCGTGGGTCCTACCGAGGATCTTGGTCCTGGTTCGAGGCTGGCTTGGAGAAGTTCGACAAGGAGCGTACCTGTAAGCTATCCTTCTGCTCATGGAACGATACCCTGCTAAGCACTAACGAACAGGCGATGGATCCTGCAAGATAGCAGCGGAAAGCTCGGATAGCGAGTCCGAAGAGGCACCTGTCATCAGCGAAACGAACCTGTGTACCTGCGGCCTTCAGTCGATATATCCTCCCGTCCTAGCGACAGCCGACGGGAAGCTTGCCTACTCCCATGCTATGCACCCGCTTGAGAACCTCAAGATACAAACCAACAAGACTGCCAACAGGGACTTTATGGACCATGAGGTGGTATGGTCTTGGACCGACGACATCCACCCGGAGTCGCCCGAGGCCGACCGGCTAGCTGAGACAGGTCGGGGCAAGGGCACAGGGACTGGAAAGTTCGTGCGCAATTTGAAGCTGGGAGATGTGGTCACGGTATGGGGTAAGGCGAGGTTCGGTGGCTGGGCCAACTACGTGGAGAGCGTCAAGGTTGAGATTTACTGGGCTGTTTGAGAGACAGTTATTGCAGCGTTTACGATCCGCACCGGTCTGTATACTATTCCCCCTAATATTCACGTTTCATGACCACCGAAACGTAATTGTCGCCGCGCACAGCGATGCCTCTCAGAAGGTTTGCCATGAAGTAGTACCCGAATCAGAGCCTGTATGTGATATTTATGCCTTGCCAGACCGTATTTCAATACCCTTCGTCCAGCACCGTAAGCCCGTCGTAACCCGACTTCAAGACCTCAGTATCCACAACGAAGACTGCAACAAGCACCGCACGATCCTCGCTGCTAGGATTTTCTCCCACCGTGTGATGACAGCCGGGCAGCTCCATGAAGCTTTCACCCACCTCGTATACCTTGGGCGGATTCCCGTTCATGCCACTGAGAAGCTTGCCCTCGGTGACATGGACCACAACAGTGGCGCCTGCGTGTCGGTGGGGAGGAGTGGCACCGTTGGGTGGGTAGGTTACTTCGAGGCCAATTATGGATTTTCCCTCAGCGTTTGCTAGTTTGTAGTCATATAGGACTTTGACTGTTTCGCGGGGTCGAGTCATTCTTGAGTTCATCAGTATTAACACGTGTAAAAGGTCTTTGTATCGTTTAACTGACCTAGCTGTCGGTCTCTTCGATTCGATTTATAGGATGATTTATTTGTAGTGTTGATTTTCTTTCTCCTGATCGTGCGACTCAAGTGAAAACAACTAGATTGGTTTGAAGTCACTCTTATTAAATGAATTGAACACGAGCGCCGGACACAACGAGTCAAGTTCCCGCTAGCTCATCCCATTCTTCCATTTTGCAGAAGCCCGACCCGGGTCGCCGCCGTCGGGGAAGTGGATACCCGAGTTCATGGATACCCGGGGCGGGTGGTACGTGCTTGCGGGTACCCGCAAGCGCCGTCAACGAATTCCCGCCCGAACGGGTTCCCGGGGGGAGCATCAGCCAATGCCGAAGGGATAAAGCAAGCAGAATCGTACCCGAGTTCGCAGGTGAAAACAATCGCACAAGCTACCTTACGCTATATAACAAGCGCTTTTCTGTAGCACGGAAAAGCAATTCACACGTAACGCACCTGCCTCTCGTTCCTCCCTTCATCAGCGACACTTCACTCGCCTTACAACAACCCCAGCTCTGAAAGCGCAATGACGAATAAGATGAAAGCAGTCCAGATCATGAGCGACAAAAAGTCTCCCAAAATCACTCTCAATACGGATATGCCAAGGCCCACGCTTACTGGCGCCGAGATCCTGGTCCGGGTGCACGCTGCTGGGGTCACCGGCGATGAACTCGGCTGGCCCGAGCTGTACGAAACCGCATCTCGGATCCCCGGCCACGAGCTATCAGGAACTATCGCCGAACTCGGCCCAGATTACACCGGAAACCTTTCCATCGGCCAAGATGTCTATGCATTCACATCAGCAGACCGTGGGCAATGCCAAGCTGAATACGTTACATGCTTGCCAGACGAGGTTGCTCCGAAATCGACTCGCATCTCTTATTTTGAGGCCGCAGCACTTCCGATTCCAGTGTTAACGGCATGGGAGGCTGTCGTCGACCATGGGAAGATTACTACAGATATGACTGTCCTAGTCACCGGGGCCTCTGGTGCCGTTGGCGTCCTTGCGGTTCAGTTGGTTACCCAGCTTAGCGGCGCTCGTGTCATTGCGCTGGCTTCATCGCGACATCACGAGAACTTGAAGCAGCTAGGTCCCGAAGTCTTGGACTACAATGACTCAGGCTGGACCTCCACAGCCGGTGGTGTGGATGTCGTCATAGACACAGTTGGCGGGAGTATCCTGAGCGATGTATGGAAGGCCGTGGCGGTGGACGGGATGATCATAACTTTTGCTGATCCACCGCCTCCTTGGGCATTCGGAGACACCGTACCGGAAGAGTTATTTGCGCGACCTGGTGTTCGACACAAGTACTTTATTGTATCTCCCAATGCTGAGAGGTTGTGTAGGGCATCTGAGATGGTTGAAGCGGGTGCCTTGAAAGCTCTGGCGGTGAAGTTATTCCCTTTTACAAAGGCGAAGCAAGCTTGGGAGTGTGCCCAACAGAGGGGTAGAGGTCATAAAGTCGTCGTTGAGTTTTATTAGATATACACACACTGGAATCTTGTTACTTAGCAGCATCATGGAAGATCCAATTTCAAGAGTGCCAAGTCCCCCCCTACACAATCAACTGTGCGACGTGGACACCCAATGCCTTCGTTGATTTCTCGGTCGAGGACTCCCACTAAGTTTCGCATGGAGATCCTCTAGCGAAGTTTCCTCTTGACACTGCCCTCATTGAGGTCATTCTGAACGTAACTAAATGTCACTTTGCACCCAATGTGAAAGCTGCGAACTAATACCCTCCATGTTATACCAGCCGCAAACATCATCCATGGTACCCAGCGAGGCGAACACCTCACTCTCGCTGCTTGACATACTGGTCTGGGAATTCGAATTCCCCGCATCGACTTTATCAGTCACGGCAAGACTTCCGGCAGTATCTGTGGCAGTCCTCTCCCCATTCAGCCTGGGTTTGAGACCAAGTACATGCTGAGCAATCGTCTGGATCTCCCGTACGTTCTTTGCTGTTCTGGGCCACACTTTCCCCAAAGTCTTGAGGCAACCGATCGTCATCCGGATCTGATCTCGCGCGACAGCGAGCTCTTTTCCCTTGAGTAGAAAACTGCAGGCCGATAGCAGCGCCAATGTACCTTCACTTACCATACAGGTGGTGAATGGAGTGTGATGGAATCGTTCGGTTGGTAACGCCAACAGCCTCACCTGTGCTTGCACCGCCCGAAGAACTCTGACGGTGTGCACATTGACAAGCTCCGTTTCGGGATTTTCTTGAACAGGCTCCCTTGCACAGCTAGAGATGTCCTCTACGGTATTGAATCTCAGGTCTGATAGAGGTCGATGTAGACCGATGGTTGCTCTGATGCATCGGACGAGTGTCAGCTGAGACATGCTCTACAAGAGATTGAGTACTTCACCTTACACGTTAATCAAAAGATGAGCTTGGAACATGAGCTCATCAATCTCTCCAGTCTTGGACATGATATGGCGACGATCTTCTGGCAGCAGTAATGACCAGCCGTCGATGATTGAGTCTGCTTCTTCAATCATACGCATAGAGTCCTCTCTGGCGACCAATTTCGGTGTCGTAGATATTGCCAGGGCAGCGCATTTTACAGCGCCGATGAGGTATGCAAAGGAAGAGTAGGACGTATCCTCCGAAGCGAACTCGCGGAGGTCGAACTCTTCGAGAGTCTGCGGTTCCGGAATATTCTTTGATTTGTGAGTTCAGTGCGAATGATCCCTGAAATTCTTTGGGCAGGAATAGCAATTACCCCAGATTCGTACTCCGACTCCGTACAGGGAAGTTCTACGCTTGAGTCTACCTCCACGACTGCGAAGTTCATTGTCCCGAGAGTCCCAGCGTAGTAAGCATCGATGATGTACAGCATCCACCACGTCCGCCTCCAGCATTCCATCAACACAGGAGACTCGGCTCCATGAGTTGCTACGAATTCCTTTTGGAACATTTGCAGGTCGAGGACTAAACGGACTGCAAGGTCCATTTGACGCTTGGCCTCGGTCTTGTGGCTGTACCAGAACAGGGCTATGGAGTAGAGTAGCCGGCATTGCACAATGACCGGGTCGCTCGGCGCTGGCTCAGAAAGTCGACTTTCGACGTCATCTTGAAGCTCTGAAGACCATTTTCTGGTAGCGTAAATGTGTCCTACAAGATGCATAGTGCTTATCAGTGGTCTGAGTCGTTCTATCCAGTTAGGATCTTGACGAAATCTCGTAAAGTGCTCCTGCGGTAGGAGAAATGGGTGGAATTTGTGGAAATTAGTGTAATATGCATTTATAAGTGTGTCGTTCTCGAGATCATCTGGTCGTATAGTCGAGTTCGCGGGCGGAGCCGATGTAGGAATTTGATTTTCGAGACTAACATCATCGGAAATACTTAAGTCAAGGTTCAGCTCAGCAAGAGAGTCTTGGCCGAATATCTGTGAATCTGTTGATTGCTGCGATGGGAGACTCATTGGTGACTCGGAACTGCTATTGCCGACACTATTTGCGACGGCAAGGCGCTTTCTTCGTTCAGCAAGCGCTACACGATCCAAGCCGCCCCGGTGTGATGGGGCATATTGGCAGTCCTTCGCGGCGGTAGCACATCTATCGCAATGAGGTCGTTTTCCGTCGCACTTCAAGTGTCTCGAGCGGCACGGCAGACAGGCTAGCGAGGAGCGAGATGCTGCGCCGTTCGAATGAGCGGGTGCGACAGGGACGGTCATCGGTGCATGTGTCAGCGGGTCTGTGAAGTTGAAGTTAGGACGAAGTAAGGATGTCCGCGGGCCGTTTTGACGGCTGCGGGGACTCGGGTATTCGGGGACCCGTTGTAAGTCAATAGGTTACCCGATGTAAGCCGGCCGCCACGTTCGCGACAAAGCCGTGGAGCTAAGCAGATTAGCGTGATAGAAGTCAGCGACGGCGCAACAGGAACCCACTGAGAGGAGATGGGAAAATAATGTGTTAGTACCAGCACGCGGGAACAGGGATATCCATAGTAAGTAATCGTTTCTAGCATTGAACAGGAGGTATTCGTGAAGCTTGACGCTGGCAGCAGTGCATAGGTACTAAGACTCTGCGGACTGCGACAGGTTTGAGATTGAACAAGTACATATACTTAACCCATACAATCTCACTCGCATGACAGTTATTATCTTGGCAATTCAACCGTCCACTGCAAGTCTCAATTTCTAGCAGTTACTCATACAAATATGTCCGGCAGGATTGTCATCATTGGGGCCGGGTTCGCAGGTGTCTGGAGTGCCCTTGCTGCCAAACGTCTCATCAACGTCCACAGCCAGACCGAAGCATTCAAAGTCACTGTCATAGCTCCACAGCCATGTCTTGTCATGCGACCACAACTCTACGAAGAGGATTCGTCAAGCATGTGCTAGGATCTCGAACCACTGTTCAAGGCATCCGGCATCAAGTTCATCCATGGCAGCATCGATGACATCGGTGCCCAATCCCCTACAGTCTCTTATAGGTCCACCACAGGCACAGAGCATCTTACCACATATGACCGTCTAATTCTTGCCGCTGGAAGCTCGGTCATACGCCCAGAGCAAGTCTCTGGACTTGCGCAGCATGCGCATGATGTAGACTCGCTGGAAGGCGCAATCAAGCTCGAAACGCACCTCAACAGCCTTGGCCCCTACCCACCCACTTCCTGTAACTGTTTTCTTGATCTTGGCGCATGGGTTGCCGTTATTACGGGTGGCTGGGAAAGAAACGTGCGACTGACAGGGAGCTGGCGAAGCAGGCTAAGATGTACATCAATCAGACGTTGATATATACGCCTGAGGACTGTCATCGGGCGCTAGAAGCGGCCACACCCGTTAGACCTGACTATGACAAATTATTCAAGAAAAATCATGGAGGCCGTTCAAAAAGGGTTGATTTCGTGAGTCGGTAATTTGTGTAAAATCTAGTGCTTCAATCTTGTGAACCGGCCTGCACGTCTCGTCAGGTAGTGATAGCGTGTGATTGTTCGAAGATACATATAGTCTTCATCCTAAGTCAATCTTCGTGCGAAGAGTCCATATGTGTTTGTGCATACGCCTTAAAGATGCCTCAAATGTACTGCGAGAGTCGAAAAGGGGTATTTGATATGATTGCTACTCTTCAAACGGATGCCAGATCCCTGGAGCATTCTATTGTTAAGCAACGGATGGCATTGCCGAAAGGATCTTCAACTGAAAGTACAACCTTTAGAGATCTTTCTCCACCTCATCCGCAATCTCGTTGATCTGCTCAACAAACTTTTCCACTTCAGTAATAAAGGCCGAATGTCCACCAGGATTTCTCAGAACTCTCTTAAGCGTCGGAATTGTCGAGATGATTTGCTCTTGTGTGGCTGGAGATATTGTCTGGTCTTTCTCGCAAAGGATGTAGTAAACGGGAACCGTTAATTCCTCCGAACCGACAGACGCCGAACCCAAGAGAGCCTCTTGTGACTGCGGCAACAATGTCGCCATGCACTCATCGGCCAACTTGTCGTCCATGTCAGGGCCGTAGAACGCGGCCTTGGCCTTGGCGTTTGCCATCACCAGACCATCGACGATATCGACAATATCCAAGCCAGGGGGCAGCACGCTCAGTGCGCTGGCACCAGCCTTGGGGGGCATGTTGGCTGTAACGAAAACGATGGCTCGGATGCCGCCCTCGAGACCCTGAGCTGCTCTTTCCTTGACCGAGTGACCTTTGGCTGCGATGGTCAAGGGGCTTCCGCCATATGAATGCGCCAACGCAAGGAACTCTTTGCCCTGTTCCAGGTAAGGGGAAAGTTCGGCTTGGATGTTCCGGGCATCATCGTCAACGGTGATCTTGGGATCGGTCCCAACACTGGGATGGCGGACAGCAACAACTGGAGAAAACCCGGCCTTCTCGAGCCGAGCTTTGGCGAGGTCAAAACAAGCGGGGAGGTGGAAGCCCCCGTGGGCAAAGACAATGCCCAAAGACCTGGATGCGTGTGATACTGCTGCCATTGTGCTTTCAAGCCACGTTGATTTTTTTGGTGATGGTTGGTGTGATTTGAATCGAGAACGTGTCTTTGGAATTTTTACAATTCAGTTCCTGCAAGTGTTCGGTCTTGTTGCTCGGGCAGACAAATCTGACTCAAGATCGAGATGCGAGGGAAATGTTGATCATCTTATGGACGGGTCCCAAACTTCCATTAGTCTTAACCTTGTAGACGTGGTGGGACAGGAGAGTCGCTTAATGATCCGTTGCAATGTGGCATTTCTTCAAATGGACGAAACCGTAGTAGCGACCGCCTTCAATTATGGGGATAACGCGAGAAACTACGCCCAACCATTGATAAGGGACCGCTTTCAACTAGGTGTTTTCAAACGACCAACAGCCTCATTTTTGATGTGTTCCTCTAGCTCTGGTTCGCGACCACTTAGATGAGACCTGTTAATCAATCAGGAAACACCGAGATTCTAGGGACCGGCCAGATAGATGATAACTCTGGCAACGCCAGAAGTTGTGGGTAAAATTCCTAAAAAGATAGCATTTGCTGTTCCGAGCTTTGACAAAGAGAGTTTGCTTGACTCGGGATGAACGATTACATGCGGCATCGTGAAGATTTATTGTGGTGCGGCCCACGGATCGCGGCACCGTGACGAATGGAGTCAAGGGTGAAAGACATGGGTCCCAGGTACCGGATCGAACGGCGCAGCTCCGCGCGCAACACCGGTATGATTTCGGAATTATACTCGCTAACAGCGCAGTTCAGCAAAAGAAAGGTCCTTTTCCGATTAGTTTTCAATTTCAATCTGTGCTAATGATACGTTTATATCATTTTTACTTACAAAGTTCTCACCGCTCCTTGACAGTGCTTCCCGCTGGCATTCGGCAAACTCCCTTCCCGACAGACAAGTTGTGCTAGGCCCGTCACAAAGCACGATATGTCGGACGTCACATATTCTTCTGCAGAAAATATTGCAAGGGTTCTAATTGTGCCTCATGCTGTTTTCAGTGTTCTAGCAACCGTCTTGGTTGGCATGCGACTCTATGTCACGAGAGTTGTAGCCAAGTCGCCATGGACTTTCGACGAACGTGTCGCCATCGTAGCACTGGTGAGAGGGCCCGTATACCAAAGCACTTGTAGCGTTGAGAGCGTTCTGTCGCTGACAGATGAAATATACAGATTGCCAATCACATAATGCTGATTACTGAAGGGATCTGTAAGTTATTGTTTGCAGTTCACGCGCAAACCCTACTATCACGGCCCATAGTCCTCTGCGCCTGCCCAATCATCGCACCATTGTACTGACAAAGCTTCGCAGCGGTAGAGTACGGCCTCGGAACAGATGTCAATCAAATAGTCGAATTATATCCAGGTGGTGTTTCAGCATTCTTGAAGGTATGGCATATCGCTCTTTGAGAGAACGATGAGGACATGTAGCTACCACAAAGCTTTCCCACGAATGTGCGCCAACTGCTGAATATTAACTTACAATTTCATAGTGTATCCTCGTCCTGGAAATTCAATATGCTATTGCATGCCCGCTGTCCAAGATGGCAGTCCTAGCGATGTTCTACAGGATCTTCTCCGCATCCAAAATGCTTCGGTATAGTATCTGGGCTATCACTGCCATGCTTGTTGGATGGTGTATTGCCGTTATTATGGTCAGCAGTAAGTCGAGCTCACAATGAGGCATAGACGAGTCAGAGCGATTTGGTATTGACGCCGCTGCATAGTCTTTTCTTGTACCCCGATCCCTCGGTTTTGGGATCGAACCATCCCTGGAACATGTATCAACTCGAGCAATTTCTTCATCGGAATCACAGTTCCGAACATTATTTTTGACATCCTTACGGTCGTGCTCCCCATTCGCGAAGTCTGGGCACTACAAATGGGGAGGGAGAAAAAGCTTGCCATCAGTGGTGTCTTTCTCTTAGGAGGCAGGTAAGTTGACTCAACCCTCGCCGTGAAGCCACAAAGCGACAATGACCAACACGATTTGTTCGAACAGCGTCGTGCTCGCATCCGTCGCACGTCTCATTCTATTCGCCATCTATCGTCCTGGCCAAGGGACCACTGGAAACAACATTAGTCAAACGGTCATTATACCTCACGCTGCATCCGCCGTGGAGACTTGCCTAGCTATAATTGGAGCCTGTCTCCCGCCATGCGCACCGCTTTTCCGGCGTTGGCTTGGAGTTGTTAGCGTCGTTAGTTCGGGGGAACGGTATGGCTCCCGCTCAGCCAGGAAGAAGGGGCCTGACGGACAGGGGAAGTCCTCGGCCTCTAAAAACTTCAACACTCTCGTCACAATTGGCAAAATTTCCAACCGCGGCGGTCATATGAAGCGATCGAAAGAACAGGATGATCTTGACGGCTCGTTCGAGCGCCTTGAAGACAGCAATAGCCTGCAGGGCTCTACTGATGGGTTGTACGTGAATGGCAATGGCGCTGCAAAGAACGAAGGCGGTATTCACTCCGAGAATGGCATCCATGTCCAGCGAGATGTTTGCGTCGAACGCAGTGGTAAAGTTACGTCAAGAGATGTTAAGGACTGGGTTGTGGGCGACATACAGTTAGATGACATGCCCGCTCAAGGTGCATCTTCTAAGCAACAAGTGGGCCTTGCTAGATAGCTGTCACGCTACAAATTTCAATATATTGTAATCTTCAAAATGGAAAGAATGAAACATTCTAGTGAAAAGTCCCTCGAAGTTGGTACTAGTATGAAACCACGAATATTGATGTTTTTGGATGCGAGCTGACATGTATAGTAGTCATTCCGCTTTCGCGGGCCGGACTTGAAACCTAGCACAACCTCTTAAGTCCGTTCCGAGGCACAACTCTTCTCAGCGATCAACGGCCATCAGCAGACTAATGTACTTAGAGAAGTTCGGCTAAGTTTAACTCCATCGGATGATGCGACCTACTCATCATTTGGGACGAAGCTGGATGCTCGGGGTTTACGCGGGGTTAATGACAAATTGAGTGAGGGCAGAAGCAACACATGTACGGATCACCGCTGCTTGATAACTACTACCTAAGGAAATATGGGGGGAAGTATAAAGCTGATTGAAAGTCCCACGGACGAACTGTAGATATTTGCTGTTCTTCTCAGAACACAACTGTTCACCCTTGAGCGCGAAGTTCCATCGCAGCAGCTATCGACCCCTCCCCAAACCAATCATTCATCTGCGACAATGGCTCTCAAATACAACAAACTTGCAGGCAAGCATGTTCTCATCATAGGCGGGTCATCAGGCATTGGTCTAGGCGTCGCAGAAGCTTCTCTCGCTAGCGGGGCAAACTTGACAATCTCGTCTTCGTCCATAGCCAAGCTCACTGCTACTGTCACATATCTGCGAAATGCCATCCCATCTTCTTCGCAGCAGAAGATTCAGAGTTTCGCAGCCGATCTCTCTGGACCAGATGCCGAAGCCAACATTGAGGCTGTCTTCAAGCAGGCCGGCCCCATCGACCACGTCGTCTTCACGGCGGCAAACACGCCTTCCTTAATCATGCTTCAAGACGTCACACCCGGTCAGATTGTTTCTGCCTGTCAAATGCGTTTCGTTGCGCCTTTGATGGTCGCCAAAGTAGCAGAAAGATATCTGCCGAAGAGCAACGAATCATCCTTCACTATCACGAGCGGTAGTGCTGCGCAGAAGTCGACGCCTGGCTGGTCAGTGATCTCTTTTCTTGCTGGTGGGCTGCAAAGTGTAGTCAAGCAGCTAGCAGTAGAATTGAAGCCTCTGAGGGTCAATGTAGTTGCTCCTGGATTCGTTGATACTGAACTTTGGGATGGTATGAAGTCGGATGAGAAACAGTTCATGGTCAAAGCTGTGGAAGAAAAAGTCCCGACGGGGCGATTTGGTACAGTTGAAGACGTGGCCGAGGCATACATTTGGCTCATGAAAGACCGCAACGTCACGGGGACTGTAGCGGCGACTGACAGTGGTGCTCTTGTTGTGTAATGGTTTGGCAAGAAGTACAACGAATTCGCAAGAATCATACGAAACTTTGGTACAACTCTTAATCCTCTCTCATGAGAGCGTAATGTGCAACTCAATTCCTCCAATCACTGCCCGAAGTAATTGTTCTCAAGCGCTCTGATCATTTGGTTGTTCATGTAGAACCAACTGCTCAACTGCGATCCATAGTCATCCGCCTCCATCAGATAATGCTCAGCTACCGATGAAGTAGAGCTGAATGATGGAACAATGGATGAAGGGGCTTCCTAGTTTGATTATAGAATGTGGTTTCATATGTTCAGATGCGAATACTCAAGGTGGCTATCGAATTTACAGATATGAATGTCTAAACAGTTCTTAGATTTCGAACCAGTCTGCTTGTCTCGAAAGCAACTATGGATGGCATCGTATCATACATTTTACTGCAGGTGATCCCAGTCGCCGCACTGTCCCTTGTTCTTCTGACAGTAAGGCCAGGGGTTTCCAAAGTGTAGGCAACGGTACTTCGTCGAAGAGGTAGAATCCGCTAATGAATTGAGTTAGCCGTTGAGTGACAAGAATGAAGGAATAGTGATTAGCCGCTCACGCAAGCAGTACACAGAAGCCCCGGATCCCGTATCACACGGGCAGCAATCACGATTCTTAACACATTCGGCTAGATAATCATACGTCAGAATGTTTGAAACCTCTCTGGGAAATACTTTTTCTTTTACCGTTGAGATGCCGGTAGTGTTGAGGGTCCGGCTGAGCGCTGGCAAGAGCTACTAGTGTAGCCAGAACGATGCTTCCAGCGAACTTCATCTTGGCAGTTGCTCTGGTGTGACGGTATTACTGAGGGGACTTGAGAAACCGACCTAGAGTCTAGAGATTAAGGCTAGTGGTCCTATAATAGATGGATCCTGATGTCTGCGATCAAAGAGGATTAAGTATTCATTCCCTTTCTCGTAGAACTGTTGTCAAGTTGTCTTTGTCGAAGGCAAGAATACCCGTGAGTTCCCCACGATCATTCGGCATGACCGGTATGGCAGTATGGGGTCATATAGGAAGCTTTTGTAAGAGAAATGTCTGTTAGATTGTAAGTTGGATCCTAGCTTACCCTGTCGGGGTATTTTGCCGACTCCTCGGGCGCAGTTGTCTGTATAGTAGAAAACTTGCTAATAGACTGTGAGGCTAAGATTGTGCAGTAAAGTTCCCGGAAGCCATCACGCTTTGTCCACCGATATTGCCTTTCTCATTAGGGAAGTGAACTGCGACTTGAAAGAAATCTCCCCAGCAGCTTGGCAGAGCTGAAAGATCCCGTGAAACCGTTATAATTGGGATTTCGCATAGAGTCATGTTGTGAGATTCTAGATACAACTTGCACGTGACCTTTCAGTCGATCAATATTCAGGAGACTGCAGTTGGAGAATTGTATGGTAGCCTTGTGCGCTCAAGGATTATTCCTAACGTGCAAATTTCATTCACAAGCTCAATTTAACCTGAAATTCCCTACAGGACTTTGAACCTACATGAGTGGATCCTGGAGGGTGTTCTGACTAGATATTGACTTTGGAATTGGCAGTCTTGGCCACTTTTGCTACTACGTCTATTCCCGAAGTCGCCGGCCCGGGAATTGAACCCCAAAATTCAGTTGCTGGCCGCCATTCCCGAAGGAAAGCCGGTGGTTTAGTAAGTATCTTTCTCCTGACAAGATGCTGGGGAGCGGGTCGGTGTTTTGGGATCGGACTTTTGACCAGTTCCCCCCAATTCAGTTGAGCTTTCCTGCGTAGGCTTGGTAGCGAATAAGAAACTTTATCCCCAGTAACTATCGAGAAGAAAAGTTTCCTTGATTTCCATACTCTGACTTCAAATATAGATGTTCGCTATAGTATTGTCAAAATGGGTACCATCGAATCATGTCAAGGATTACGCGACTATTCTGCTACTGCGCCCTGTTCCAAAGTTTTGAAGGCTCGCTCCTTGGCTTGGAGAGCTGGCCTAGAGATTTGCCGGAGGAAAGTTTCTACGGCGATATTGTAAGCGGAATCGTTGAGGAAGAAAAAAAAAAGGAATCATCAAGTCGGCAATCCAACTTTCTGCAGTCTGTGAACGGCTATCCTATTCGTTATTAAAGTTTTATGAGCTCTCGGCTTTCGCGAATAAACTCTCGCGGATACGCCGAAAATAGTATGCACTGCCTCTCATAGAAAAAGGCACCTCGTACTGCCGCCCTAAAATTCTGCTGCCCTATGATAGTCGAGTGATGCCCACTAGTCGGTGTTCAATGAGTCTAGCATTGAAGCTTGACATAGACAGAGTCTTGTTTTCGGCAGGATTTACGCAACACATTCGATATTATGGCGAGTCATGACAAAAGCCAGCAGGCAGACAGGGCGCAGAATACATCGTTAGTGAATTAGACCTTCGTGTTCAATCCGCGTGTAAGTGACGCAAAACTTGAAAGAAGGCTATAAGCCACCGCCTACACGCGTATTGGATCCGGGGGCCCAGGGCAACAGCGCCTGGCGGATTCTACGACCAAGCTCAGATGAAACATTCCATAAACTGCTAGATGGCGCCAGTAGATCCGTCCTCGGTAGGTCCATCTCCAGTGGACTTATCTCTAGTATATCCGTCTCTAGTTTTTCACTCATTTCTACTCTATATCGAGAGTGTTCATGGGCGAATGTGAGAAAAATGAAGCCAGAGAGACATATGACTTATTATTATTTACCACATGCTAACGAATGCGTATATGGCCAGAAGTTCAAGGGTCTTTCTGGCGTAATGCCCGCATTTTGCCCGACAGAACGCGACGAAGTCCTCTACCAGCTGGGCGCTCCCCCGCGTACTATGCGCTGACTCCAAGCCGGCCCTGACGAACCAACCACCGCTACGCGTTGAGAAAGACTTGTCCTTGGCGCAAAAAAATGACCATCAAAGAGGGATGCAATACCAGTGACAAAGTTGCTAAACTATAGAAACTCATGAGCTACCTATACGTCGGCCTTCAATCGTTCACCAACTGCTCTAAGGAAAGTACCTTGATATACTTTTTCGCGATCTGTTAATTGATGGGGTAAGATGGCCTTCCTCAGAAATTTGCGGCGTGGCATGAAAGAAGAGCAGATTCTTAGAGTATACTCGAATCAGGTATGTGAGGTCTAGAAAAAGGATGTCATGATGGAAGTCAAAGGGGCGCAAGGTTCAGGGTTTCGACCAATGAAGATGTAGCTTGCAGTCTCTTGGCCATTCTTATTGCCAAATACGGCAAGTCGAGGAACCAACTCGCCGCCACTTAGTGCCGCAAGGATCGACAATACTCAGTGTCCGGCGCCTTGGAAACAATGATTGCGGATGACGATTGACGTCAGCTCAGCACTGATGAGTGGTGTCTTTGAGTCGACCTTTATCAAGGTCTTTCCTCACTCCCAAGCGAATGTTAAGAAAGATAAAATAAACGTTGGCATCTGCCAGTTGCTCTCTCTTTGCTCAACGAACAAATCCATATCTCTCATTGCAATATCACACCTCAAAATCCTCAACAAACAAAGATCCATTATTCACAGACAACCAACCTATACCAATTCGCATACCTGAGAAGAGGACAATGGGCTCATCCAGCAGCAAAAACAGCGACCCCTATTGGTGGGGCTACATCGACGACGGTAAGGGCTGGATGGCGCGCCCCAAATCCGAGTACATGAAGACGCCGGCGTACAACAAGCAGCTGCGCCGGCAGATGAAGCAAGAGTCTCTGGCAAAGGGTGGAAGCGGTCACATCTCCATGGCGGAACAGTCTCGGAAACAGTGGTAGCATTCGCTTCGTCGAGGCCTTTACGGGAAAGCCTTGTCAGGTAGTCAGGTTGATGTCGCAAGCTTTGCTCGAGGCATGCCAGATGCCAGAATCTAGGTGCTTCATATCATCGTACATTCGATGAAGCCATCCTGAAGAAGACTGTCGGTTTGTTGATGCAACACGGTCATTCATTGTAGACGTTGCTCAAGGCCAAATTCTACAACAAAGACGAAAGAGAAGATGGAAGGGTAATCAAGACAAACACGGCAAGACACTCTAAACGTAAAAGTCATTTGATACCTAAGCTTTTAGCCCCCTTCACATCAGGAGGAAATCCTATAGCCAGATGTACACTACAGTTACAACGCTCCAGACCACATCACATGGTCGTGAAAATCCAGGTCTCATTTTGTGCTCGCTTTCTCTATCCCGAGGTTCCCATGAGCGAATCATGGCCTACCACAAAATCCTCATCTCTGTATCTGCATATCCTCGTTCTTCGTCTTAAGAAGAACCTCCTCCCACCTGAGATATTTACTGTGTCTTCTTGGTCACAGTCGCAGTGCCGGAAGGCGCACTATACATCCATACAGCCGAGAACAGCACAAAGCCGGTGACGGTAGCAAAGATGCCAGACAACCAGGGCCAGGCGCCCGAGATGACGTACGAGCGAGGCCACTCATCGTGGGCCATGTGGCGGACGGAAACGGTGTTCTTCTCCTCGACGTTGGTGAAGAAGGGGCGCTTGTAGTTGACCTTGAAGTTGAAGATGCCGTGCTGATCAGGCAGGATGAAGGAGGTGGTGTAGGTGGTGGCGTCGGCGGTGCTGGTCTTGGCAGCGAGCGGGATGCGGTGGAAGGGGGAGAGCATGCTGAACTCGAGCTGGAGGTCGTCACCACTGGGGACAGTGAAGGGGGTCCACTTGTCCCAGGAGTACTCGGAGACGGAGATGGAGTAGGTCTGCTCGGGAGGTTAGCCTTTTCTTAATCTTCTCTGAGCATCCAACTCAGAATAGCTTACGACTTCGTTCTTAATGCGGTAGAGCTCGGGGTTGGTCTCGTTGGCAGCCTCGTTGAGGTAGTGCTCAATGTTGTTGACGCGAAGGACACCAGTCTCCTGGAAAGTCCAGCCGGCAACTCTCTTGGCGAACTCGCGGTTCCAGGTCTTGACCTCCTTTCCAGCAGCCACGGGCTTGATCTTGGCGTCGAACCACTTGTCGCTCAGCAACTCGGCAGATCCAACGAGAGTAAAGCGGGCGCTGTTGCGCGCCTGGAAGGCGGAGACGAGAGCCAGCTGCTCGCCGGCGGCAAACAGGTCGCTAGCGTCGACGACCTCGGCCTGCTCCTTGGGGTTGTAGCTGTAGGCCGTCTTCGGGGCGCGCAGGATCGGGGTGAGAAGCTGACCGGCACCGAGGACATGGCCAACGCCGTTGGGGAAGGCAATAACCTCGCCGTCCTCGTGGAAGAAGTTCTTGACGCCGGCGCGGGGCGACTTGGGGGCGGGGATGGCGAGCACGTCGTGCTTCTCGGAGGCGCTGACGGTGTCATAGTTGAAGTGGTCGACGACGAGGCCGGTGCGGTCGGCGGGGAGGGCGATGTCGAGCTCGGCCAGGAGGCTCACGATGGAGGTCGGGACGGTCGACTCGGAGGAGAGGGACAGCAGGATGTTGCCCTTGGCGTTGACGAACTGGAGGAGAATGTTGGGGGTCAGGTTGGGACCGAGACCTGGAGATGCCATTGTAAGTATAGACTCCATAGATCTCGAACAGCAATTGAGTCGCATACCCTTGCTCTTAGACGGGAAGAGCAGAACGTGGTCGTAGACACGCTCGCCGAGCTTGAACAGCTGCAGAGACTCGCTCTTGGGGGTCTCGTATGAGATGCTGAACCCGCGGCCTGATTTGATCAATTGGTTAGCTAATCGCATTCTCTCGTCTTTCCATTGCTCTCATTCACAAGATTTTGCATGATCTTGAATGAGCCCCGACGTACTTTCCAAATCTCCGAGGAACTTGGAGTATCCCTCCTTCTCAGCAACATCGTCGAGAATTGCCAGAAGCCGGCCGCCAGTGACGCTAACAGCGTGCACCGCGGCAGCCAGAAATAGCAGACAAAGCGAAAGAAGAGACCGCATGATTGACCAAATTCAATGGACAAATTCGTAGGAGGAGGGGTGGTGGATTGGGAGGTTCAGGAAGAAAAAAAGAGAAAGTTGGGCGCACAGCTGGGGTGCGTTGCGTTGCGTAGCTGGCTGCGCGGGAGAGCTTGACATGCACTTTTGGGATCCGGTGCATGTGTCTTGAAGCTTGGGGATACGTAGCCGTTGCCAAGCTAAGGTAGTGGTCGGAGAATCCCCGGGAGGCGGGTGGGAGGTCCATTCCTGGGACCTGAGGTGCCTGGCCTTTCCCGTCTCGCTTTTAAGCAGGGGTACGTATCTACCCGCTGTGTGCCTCAGGGACCTGCCTCAGAGATCGCAGGTTATTCCGACGAGGTTTATCCGACCCTGGCCGGGCCCCGGGACTCTTGCGGCTCCATTCTGAGCTTCGGTCATCGTGGAAAGACGTCCGCCGCCAGCAATAGCAACAATCATTTGACGACACACCATACGGTCAATTGAGTACGTCACGCCGAGGAAATGCATCGCCGCCTTCTGTGATTTAATTGCATAGCTAATTGTCAATTTTACAGTACCTAAATAATGTCCTCCGCCGCATCTCCCCGATTCTGGGCCGGGCCCATTCGCTACTGCCGCTGGGCATCCCGCGAGAAGCCAGCCTACTTCTGGTCCGTCGTCCTCGGCGCCCTCGGTCCCATCCAGCTGGCCGTCGTCCCTCCCGTCAGAAACTTCATTGGCGACTACAACGCGCCCCCCATCCCCGTCACATACCCTGGTGAGTCTCGAGAAAACGAAAACACCGCGAAACCGATAGGGCTGGCTTCCCTCCCTCTTCGCGGAGAACATGGAAAGGAAACAGACGCAATGCTAACGACGCTGGATGTTACACAGTTCCCGCAGGACCTAGAAAGCAGCTGACGGGCTATGACGACGAATGAACCCCCGCCGCAAGACAAAATCTAGAAAAATCCAAACATTCGGCGGAGGAAGGAAGCTATTGTAAATATGAACGGCGTTCGGGCTCTAGACAGCGAACAAGGGATGAAGTGGCTATTCGGGCGAGCTGCTGAATCGAAGCTACAACTTGCGGCTCGCGGGTTGGAACTTCCACCCAGGAGATGATCTGTTTCAAGGCTTATGCTGTACACTACCAGTCACGCGAAGTTGCAATTCACTCGTGGCCTACTCCAAGTCGTTCAAATGCGGCAATGATCATTTACCAAGCGAGACAGAGCGAGAGAGAGGACGCCAATTCTATGCTAGCCTGGTAGAAATCCGCTATGCCCCCTTTATAAACTTGATCGGATGCGATTGCCACCCTTCCCATAACTTTTGTTGCCGGCAACGGCCAGACTCTATCTGTCCCGCTGGACAAGGTTCCACTCGTACTGCGCAACCGCGTTAGAAACCATAAGCTCTGTTAAGCGAAAGGTTGTGTAAACTTACCACTCGCCCATCATCATCTCCTGTGTAGACGCATTGCGGCATGGGCGTGATGCAAGTAATGCCTGCGTCGTAATTGGCGCCCACTTCTGATCGTGGATCGGTATGGTCCAAGCGGCGGAGTAGCTCCAATACCCACTTCCCGTTCTTTACGCACTTCTTCCACACGTTCACACGGCCTCTCTTGTGGCCGGTGAAGATCAGGCAATTCTCAACCCACTCGTCGCCAGCACTTTCGTAAAATGCACATGAGTGAACGTAGTCGTCAGGTTCCGCGCACACATTTTGGTCGACGAGCACTGTCCCGTTGAGGGTGTATAAGATGAGGTTGGGGCCGGATCCAAGCATGATCTCGCCTGAGACATCATTGATGCGGGCGCACTCCACGGGCCGCGAGAGAGGCAACTTGCGGATGAACTCTAGACGGTTGATATCCCAGAGGAAAGCCTGGCCATCTGTCGACGCCGACACAAACGTGCTGAAGGACTTAGACACGGCTATGTTCGTCACGGGAGCCCGGTGACCAAAGAGCGACGACCGAGGCAAAAGATCAACTACTTTTCCAGGCGCTGTCTGCACAGCGTATACGGAGATGACGCAGTCTTCTCCCGCTGTGATGAGCGTCTTCGAGTCTGCAAAGATGGCGCAAGATAACTGTCCAATGTGGAGATTCTCAAATAGTCCCGCGGGCTTGTGGCCATCAGCAAATCTCCCAGTAACAGTCATGTCAGGCTGTCTTACCTTCCGGTTGTCGCTGAAGAAGAAGCGGACACTGTTATCGGCATAGCCCCATTCAAGGAACTTGTCGTACGGGGCAACGTTCAGGCGGAAAGGTGAGGCACATATGAGGCGGTCTATCTTTGGCGAGTAAATCAGAGTTGCTACTCTCTCGTGGGATTCTGGGACTTTCGTTAGTTGAGACCAACCTGTGTTGGAATGAAGCATACCGAGCAGTGGGTGGGATAACCTAGTCAGAGCATAGACCGAGGTATCCAACCGCCGTATTGGGCAAGAAAAGTGCTCGCGGCCAGGATGAGACCTAGTGAACACCTGGTGAGGAGTTTGGCCAAAGTTGTGGATGACACCAGCAGTAATACGCCTCTCTTGAGGATCGCTAATGTTGTCCAGGTCCGTTGCTCCACGGTACGAGAGATGATGGAAAACATTGAGGTTGTCTACAGCTGCGTCCCCTCTCTGCTTGTACCCAAATATCAGGTCGATCCAGTTGTGCAGGTGCTGGCTGACGTAGGGACTCTCAAGTGCTTCGCGATGCTTGGCAATGAAGATCTTGGGGTCACCCTTGGCCCAGGGAGGCAGGACAACATTATTGACCTTTGCTCCTGTGCTTTCGCGATTGCCAAAGTTATACTGATTAATGTTCGTCAAGAATTCTGGGAGGCAGAAGAATTCCGGAATCAGCTCTCTGACATCGGCCTTGTTGTCGCACGAGGCAGACTTCCACGCGTGAGGAATCGACTGGAACAGACGGTCGGCGTGGTCGAACGATCCGCCTTGAAGGAGGATATAAGACTGAACGAAGGGTGGAAGGCGAATGAGATATGACGACACGATCATAGCTGACGAGTAGTGGGTGCCGTAGTGGAACGGAGTTTCACCTATCTCTGCCAGGGCATCGTACGACTCCCTGAACCCGGACACACGGCCAGCGGTCTGCGCGCCCATCGGCTTTGAGAGGTCTCGGAAAGTTGCCGGATCGTTCAGATTGAGCTCCTCGCTCGTATAATCCGCGAGAACCCAAGGGAAGACGGGGTACTGAGTTAAGTCGTTGAATGTACGCCCTGCCATCGTGTTGACCAGCATAAGGTAGTGGAAGTTGGACATTTCTCCCTTCTGCCACTTCTTCATGGCGGGGTTCCAGGGTGTCGAGTTGAAGATGCTTCCGAACTTCGAACCAAAGCCTTGGGGCATCTCTTCTGAGACCTTCAGCGCTTCAAGACGCCAAGCATCCTCGGGATTCGGAAGTGAACTAGCGGAGTTTGTATGCGGCGCCTTGTTCATTAGCTTGCCAAAGACCTCGTCTCTCAGGATCGGGTTCATGGACGTCAGTAAGTAGCTGCGTCCATCTGTAAAGAAGACCTCGATCGCGACGTCTCGGAAAAGGAATCTTCTCTTGGAGATACTGATCACATCATGCCATCTCCAGCTGCGAGATTCTTGTTCACTCCGGCTTGAGCTCTGGCGTTGCTCCGTCGTTTTGGCGTCCGTGATGATCTCCGAGAAAGGATCTCGTTCCTCAGGAGGTGCCTGCCAGGCATTGACAATCTCTCCAGAAGCACACTGGAAGACGTTGTCCATGATATATAAGGCATCCTTGCCAATGATGAGAATTCCCTCACATCCCTCAAGACCGACGATGCGGGAGATGTTGTACACGGCTTGGACTTGGTCACCTTGTTCAAGCCGCCTCATAACCTTGCGATTCTTGTCCTCGAAGCCATCGTCGCCTTCGTTGGCATCGTTCGGATCGTCAACAAGCTCAAAATCTTCTTCGGCTCCTACGCCGGACTCGTTTGCCTCCGCGTCCTGGTCAACATCCGGCGGGGTATCGGGGTTTTCTGCACCATCGAGGCTCGGAATAGATTGTACACGTGATGATGCCGGTGTAGCTGACTTGATGGGCGACGGTGCGATCTGCGCGGGGGCCATAGCAGTGTTGACTTTCAGGGCTGAAGGAGTGGAGGGCTCTCCTGCTCTCCTCTTCGGTTGGTAGTCTGAATTCTTGTTGGAATAGTCAGGTAGAAGCCTCAGACGCATCCGGTTGCGTCCTTCAGTCCGATCAAGCTTCCACTTAAGCTGAGCTTGCTCGCTGAACACAGCACCCGGGCGTCGCAGATCATTGTCCATCTTGACAAATGCCGCACCCAGGAAGGCCATATCATCCTGCTGGTCTTGTGTCAGACGCTGATGCTTGAAGTGCTCGCTGGTAAAAATGCTCTTCATCCAGGCCCCGTTCGCCATGTCGTGACGGAGGAGGATGTTATCCACGGTAAGTGCCTCCGTCTGCCATGCTTTCAGTCGATCTCTGCGCTTCGCTAATCGGAACTTAGCCGAATCAACCGTTCGCTGGTTTTCGACAACGACAAACTCCTCCCAGATCTTTGATATGCCACCGAAAAAGAATGCATCCAGTGACGCACGGTGCTGGTCCACCCATTCGATGAAAGCCTCGTCGTCGATTTCGGTGAGCTTAACAACGAAATCTTTCGTCAGGTGCTGCTGGTCTGGTTCTACACATTGTCTGAACAACACCTTGGATTCATGGGGCTTCTGGACAAGCATGATGCGCATGATCGTAGCTGCAGCAGACCTGATGGATGTTCGGGGATCAACCAGCTTCGAGTACAATTGATACCAGAACAGCTTCATGTACTCCTCCTCATTCGCAAGGCAGCCCAGAACCGGAGCTTGCCAGTAGAGAATGTTACTCATGAATTCCTTTGCGCTGGCGTCCGGCGTGTCTGGATCGTCCAGTTCTGAAAACCGCAAGAGAAGAAGCTTCAAGAATGATTGACGGATGGTTCCAACGGCTTGACTACACAGGCGAACGCTTTTCATTGTCGATACTTCGGACCTTTGTAGATACTCCAGCACCATGCCAGCGAACTCTAGCATGGGCTCAGTACCGTTAATGAACCAGCCCTCAAAGATGGTATCGGTGACGTGCGCCGCAAGTCTACCCATGTTGGTAAGAACCTTAGGCTCGCTGAGAACCTTCTGATTCGCTTGGACATGGCTTCCAAGTTGTTGAAGCGTCTTTCTCAGGACAAAAGACTCGAAATAGGCTTGATGCTCCTGGAAACCTGGCGGGATCTTGAGGAAGAGGCCGAAGCCAGGGAACTCTTTGCGCGTAAAGACTTGATCTATAAAGACACTGACGACCAGATCCACCATGCTGTCAAGTGCAGCGCTGCTTGACTGTTGAGAGGCGACCTTCTTCTTCGGTGACATAACAGGTGCAAATCGGACCGGGCTCGGGGCCTGAGGTGATGTTTGATTGGTGAGCAGAACGAAACCAGATGCTTTCCGTAGAGGTGTTCCACGAGGGTTCCCTGCCAAAGCAGCAACTGCATCTGTGCTCGTCGTCCGCACGATGGGGCCAGGCTGAGAGCCGGCAAGCGGGCGAATCATCACATCCCCGCCCTCAAATGTCAGAGCTGAATCTCGAGAGTTGAGCTCCGTGTCTGGCGTGACAGCATCGGTGCTAACGATGATGGGATAACACGCCCATAAGAGATACCTCACATACTCAGACGTCAATGCGAAGTCCTTGAAGTCGGCTGACCGGGAGTGCAAGTCTGCCAGGAATCGGATGACAGTCAATAGCATGGGCGCGTGGTTTGAAATCCGCTCGCTATCACGCGGGCCATTCTCTGATACTACGACAAAAGTCAGCATTGTCATTCCCGTGCATAGAGGCAACGACTCACTTCTCGCATCTAGACCCCTAGTCTCCATGGACTTGGCCCGGGGCCGGGTTTCTAGGCCTTCGAACCCGCTTGCTTGAAGATGATGCGACTTTTGAGGAGAATTTGGGTCCTCCTGATGCTTCATGACATCCTTCAAGCCATGTTGTAACATTGAAGCTATGACTTGCAGACACTCAGGATAGAGAACGCGAGCTCTTCCAAAGGTTTCAAGTAAGCTGGAAAACTCGAAGTTGCGTTCCAAATCCACGTTCGCTACGTCAAGTCCGAATAGGATGCTGAAGCAGATTGGCCACAGGGAGGGAATGTGCCACCAGCGTTTAAGTCGATGCGCCATGATGGTGAAGCCACCAGTCTTACCGGAGAACTTGGCCGTGTACGTGGAGCCGTGCGTGATGAGGAGTCTGGCCAGGATCTTGCTGCCATATACTACCGTTTCGGGATCGTCGTTGGCCAAGAGATATAGCAGCCACTGGTCCATACTCAATAAATATAACTGTTTATCCTTTTCTCCAAACGGTGGTCTCACCTTGTTCGTCACTGTCCTTGCAAACTTGCGGATGTTGGCCAGGTTGCCCTTTTCGCAGAGCAGGTTTGAGTACATTCCCAGAATCTTGGCACCGAGTTGTTTCTTGGTCATGAACCGCGAGGGGGACGTATTCGATGTGGTATTGGAGTCGAAAGTTGCCCGTCTGGCATATCCGGTCGTGGGTGTTCGGGCTGTGGCAGACACAGGTCTTGGTGACCTTACCAGAGAGGCTGTTGGCGAGTGGAAGGCATACGTGATGAACAAGGCTAGTGACCTGTGTACCTCTGCTGTGTAGTTGCATTTCACCAGTTGCTCCAAAGCAGCCATGAAGTGCGGTTGCACCTCCTCGGAAATCGATTCTGCTTTCATCGCGTCGAGCAGCCGTTTGACGATTCCTTTCATGTCGCTTGTCAGCAGTGCCGATGGCTTTGATCTGAGGGTCGACCCACTCATGCGCATTAATCTCCTGCTATTAAATTGATGATACTTGCTCTTCACTGAGAACGTCACGAATTGCTTGTAGTATAGCTCTTGGGTGATGGAAGCTGATCGTCTCCAGGTGTCGAAATCGATAAGCAGAATGCGGTACGCCAGAGGATTCACAATGAAGGACTCCAAAGGCTCTGCAAGGTTATAGCCCACAAATTCGAGGACAAGGCTTAAAAGCTGAAAACTCAATCTGTCCCGTTCTTCACTTGAAATCGGTAAGCGTAGATTGGCGCTGTCAGCACCCAAGTTGACGGTATAGCCCAGTTTAGCTCTGAGAAGCATGCCGAGGATAGCGTAGCCATTATCACGCTCCATCGCCTCGCTGTTTCTCCAGCTCTTTCTGATGCACAAAAACGTCATCTCGACCGCTCGAACAGTTTCTTCTACTGAAGTCGCCCTTTCAACAATCTTCAGAGCCAAAGGAGTGAAGCCTGCAAGGCGCCAGAAGTTGTCGTCGAAATAGGAGGGCATCACCACCACGGGATTGCCAGATAGAACAGCAACACCTTGGGAACGTGCGAGTGCATCCAGAAGGCATGGCAGGGCAGCGTTAATCGCAATGGCTGAACCGCTTCTATGGGTCATTTGAATGAGATTCGTTGCTGCAGGCCGAGGCAGTGCACGGTAAAGCTGGGTATCTTGATAAACGCCATCTTCTCTGAAGACACCTGTTGGGAGTATGCTCAGTAGAATCTTGCTTTCTGGGAGGAGGCTGCCAGCCTTGTCTCTGATGGCTCTTATGATATCGGAACTCTCATCTCTTCCAGGATGGAAAACCTCGTTTCGTAATCCTAGGCTCGCCGAGGCCTCGTAAGTCTGGAAACCGCCTAGGCTATCTTGAAAGTTGCCCTGGTATTTTGGGGAGAGTCCGTAGTGAACAGCCAGGAAGTCATCGCTTAGGGCGTCTTCAAAAAGATGGGCTGAAGCCAAAGACCATTTCGAAAAGACCAGACCGGGACCAACTTGGCTGGAAAGATCTCTTGGAGTTCCTAGGAATGCCTGAACAGGATGTTGCTTTGCGTTCGTCGAAGCAAATGATGCGAAGCTTTCGGTACTAGCGTTGGCGAGTGGTGGCGGCGAAGGATATGCACACTTGATCTGCTCAACAAATTCGCCGTTGACGTACAGTGAGGCTTTGCTTGCAGTCATTGTTTTTGGTCGTCTGTGAACAAGGGCAATATGGTACCATTGCTTGTCCTTGAATGACATCCCTTTGAACCTGACGCTTGGTCGGCTGGAAGTGACTGAGGTCTGTAAGATGAAGTTGCGTGTATCCCGCTCAAGATACATGAGGAGAAAGCATGTCTGACTGGCATCAAAGACGCCAAAGAGGGTTGTGTGTGAGTTGGGGTCAAAACGATCCACACGAATCCATGCCGTAAAGGTATAGCCTGGAGATGAGCTGGGAGGAAAAGACCGGCCGAGGGTGGGTAATTCGATGGACGAGTGGCCATGCAAGGAGAGGTCGAATTGAAAGAACGGCGGGCCGCTATACGTCGAAGTCATCTCCAAGCAGAACTCTGAGGCTTCCGGCAATTTGCTCGCCAGTAAGAACTGGGTGTCGGCGGGCTGGTTGAATCCCAAGTACATGAGCTTTTTGCACATGATGAGGAGCTTGTCCTTCTCTGCTTGGTCGAGTTTGGCGACGGGGCTGAAAAGCACGCGGAGGAATCGCGATAATACTCCGGTTGCGTGGAGAGCTGCGAGGTTGAACATCGAGACGGAAACTGCGCTGGACATGATCTCCAAGACGACCATTGAGCAAGAGTTGGCTGGCATATCTTGTGCTCGCGGAATAGACTCCCAGAAGCCCACGACAGCACGCAAAATTTCAGGATTTCTGAAGAAGGCCCGTTTCTGCATGCCATCGCGCACTGCCTGTATTACGTCCTTTCGTTCTGGAACTTGCGGCGTTTTTGGTTGCTGAGCATCGTCCTCAGGGGGCTCCTCTGGATCTTTCGAGTTCTTGGCATTTCCGTCCTTCGGTTCTGAACTTGTCGCAACCGACTGGCAGATGGCGTCCATAGTCTTGTCCCCGAGTGAGAATGCTAGCAATTTCCCAAACATCTGACAGTTGGTCCACAGATCAGAGTCGCTTCCGCCAAGGCCAACGCTGGCAATAGTCTGCTCGAGAGCCTCCCATCCGCCTCCTTCCACCCTGTGGCGAAAGTATCGCTTGTTCCCTGGATGGTCCAAGAAGGCAGCGGCAAAGACGTCCAAGACAGCTTCGAGCAATCCAAATAGACCTTCTTTCTCTTCTTTGGTCCGGCGTTGGGGGTTGTAAAAGCCCGAGTAGGATCTCAGCACGTCGAGGAGCCTGTTGAACCCGTGTAGGTGCCTAAAATCGTCTTGGGGCGGGCTCGGGGGTTCGGTCGCGGCAATGTGCTGTCGAATCTGACGGAGGCTCTTGATGAGCACGGGAAACTCGGGATATCCATTGTTGGTTCGCCGTTGTGTGCTGGACGTGAGTGTATCGAGGAGGCCGCGCAGGATTTCGAGAGCTTTCGAGTTGGCGGCGCTGGACGATCTGGAAGACGCCGAAGTCGACGAGCGATAACGCCTCGACACTTGTAAGGTCGACATGTTTGATTTCTGCTACTGAAGCGTTTCCCTCATTCCAAAATGTTCAATCCCAGCACCCATCGAGGGTCCAGGCAACGGTCCAAGCTAGTCGGCATCGAAAGTGGGATGCGGCGTGGGATCGAACGGCAGCTCGCAGCTGAGGGTACCGGTCGGTGGGGGATTCGAGTAGTGTGTGTAGTGGATGTGTGGGTGAAGGTTGGAAGTGGTGGAATAGTACAATCTCAAGGTAAGGAAGAAGCCGCAATTTTCCAATATCTTGATAATAAAAAAAGAGTGATTCACCTCGAATTTGCTTCGATTCCCCAGTGTTGCAGCTACGCGTTATCGCAAAGACGGAGTCGGAGCTGATGCTTGTGAGTGTCAGCCTTGAGCAGTGAAGTGTGGCTTGCATCGCTCTCAGTGGCTGCCTTGTCACGCACAAGCAGGAAGGAACGTCTGACGTGCCGGCCGCGTTGGGAAGGAGTGGGGTAGGAATGGTGGCGGTGCTGCAGCAGCTCAGTCATTGTGGGCGGACACCGACACCGCTAAAAGATGATGCAGCTCAGTGAGCTACTTCACTGAAGTAGACCACACGTCCATGTTCAGCTTGGGGGACCCCGTTGCATTGCGCAGAGACAATGGTGACACGCCTTGCCCCCATGCTATTCATGGAAACAGCTCACACTGCGTGAGAAGGATGTAAAGCACACAGTGAGAGCGATCTTACTTGCCTTTCTTGGTCTTCATCTTCACATGCGAGGTGACTTGATGTCCTTGTATACGTTGATGACGCCCTTTTGAATAAGAGATCACGTTGTTCGCTACCTACCTCACTGCCAGAGAGCTCTCAGTACTCCGTATTGCTGCGGGTATCTGCAGTGACATGTTCTACGCAGTACACAGTAAAATGCGAGCCTGGCTCCGACAAGCTTGCTACGTAGCTGAGCTTCAGAAACAAGGTGCGTCTTAGTGCAGATAAACCCTGGCTTATCGCGGCCAAACTGAGATGTGCAGACAAAGATACGGATAGCTTCCGGTTCTAACACTAACAGTGGACAGTGGACTGGGATCATCAGAGTGGACCCCATGAAACATTGTTGCTTCATCCCATTCGAGCACGCTCTCAGATATAGACACCAAGGTATCTCTATAGTCAAGTACCGAATCAATAGAAGATGGATGCTGTGCCCTTTGGTTGGCAGCTCGGACCCCAAGTACCAAACTGACGCGAGTTGTCTTGCTTGCCGAGGATGACGAAGAATACCTACCTACTAGGAGGTAGCCCGCTTGGTGTACATATCCGTACATGAATGCATACTCGCTCTCAACTGCATAATCGCTAAAGGTAGCTGGAGGGTTGAAGAGAACACCCTCACTGGTGCATGAAACCCACCAGCAAAAGCTAGAAAGACCTCAAAGACATAGGAACACGAATCAGTCAACGGCGGCCTATCAGTCTTTCTAGCTCTTTGAGTCAGTGGCCAGCCCTCAGCGCTAGATGGCTATGACAATGCAGGTAAACAAAAGACAGAGAGTCGGTCAACTGCCCATGTGTCATGACTCCGTCGACCGGGATTTGCTTGGGCGATCATCGGCTCAGGCGCTGGCCATCCTTTCGGAGGAGCATTGCTGCATCTGGGAGGAAGCTTAGGCGGCATGCGTGGTTTCAGTCTGCCTCTTCCCTAACTCTTCGACACCGAGACATGGACAAGCTTGGTGGGTTGAGAAAGCACTGAGAATAGTCGCGAGATATTCTCGCAAGGCGTCGCAAGGCGATGATGCTTACCGACATGTTCGCCGAAATGGTGTCGAGCTTCGTTATTGTGTCTACGGTCAACGACACGCGTACCGCATACACCCATATTGAACTGGCGTGAATGGCCCAATTGCCTTTACGGACGGATCAAGATGGTGTGTTGGGTTGCTCTCCTCGCATTGACAGGCGACTCGCAAGCTCGTGGCGTTTTCTTTGTACGCAACACACACCGAGACGTTCCTGAGCCGATGGGCGGCGGTTGGTGAACTAAAACAAAAGGCAATTGTCATATTCGGACGAATGTTTCCGCTCTGCTGACCTGCGGGAGTAACGCAAGCCGCCGCCGAAGCCGCCATCCCGCTATTGTCGCCTCCCATAATCACTGAGAGAACCCGGATGAGTCGTTTGAATGAGAGCTAGAGCTTCGGGGCTGGCACAGGTTGGCTCTTCGTACCAAACTACGGCTGGCCTGTCTGGCACGCCGCACGTCTGACTAGCCGTCTCCAGCAGTGTCTTGTCCAACGCCAGACTGCCTCCCGATGACGGGAAGACAGGGGAATGGATAGAGGCACGTGCCAGGCACCACACGGGGACGCTCTCATCTGACCCGTGGGTCAGGCGTCTGGCGACTCTGGCCTAGCTCGGACCAGCGTAGCGTTGGTGCTGGGCCTCGTCTCCCCGCCTCCATGTTCCAGTCAGACAGCTTGCCCTTGAACCCCTTCCGCCTAGGAGCTTGCCCTTGAGCAGAGGGTGGCAGGGCAGCAGAGGTACCTTGCGGGATAGCTCAAGCATCAAGAACCACCTGAGCGACAACCGCCCGCCAGCATCACCTTGGATCTTTGGGTGCTGGGGGCATTGATGAGACCAACAAAGCAGTCGCCTACTTAGTGGCTCCGGCACCTGGTACCCTCTTCGCCTTGGATTTAATCCCGGGTAGGTCTTATCCACACAAAGACCCAGCTGCGCCGGACACCTTATTACAGTTAATCGCATCATCGTTGAGCAGGTTCCTTACCCAATGTGGCAGCCGGCAGCCCAGCAGGCTAGAAGGAACCGAGACGCCGACCTGCGTCCCGAGGCCAGGCAGGCAGTAGCAGATCCGGACAAACACCACGATGCATACTTCGTACTGCCAGCACACGACATGTAGGATTTGGGTCTCTATCCCTCTGAGTGGTCGACCAAAAAGCTCAGCAAAACGACGAAAGCTTCGAGTGTCGAGATAAGACGGGATGGCAGCGCTTGTTAAGCTTCAGGGTCCTCCGGATAGATCTGCCTCGCCCTCCGCTCTGTGAATCGTCCATTACGCGTTATCGCATGCAGCGTTATGCGGGATATGCGGACTGGGTGGGTGTGCTCTGGTGGGTTGGGAGGGGGAGCTTGGTTGTGGATTAGTAGAAGTGGGTGAAGAATGTCTGAGGAATGCTGATAGCGCGGTACATCTTCTCGACTTGCTCGTGACCAGGGAGCCGGTGCTCCCAAGCTGCGACTGGTTGGTAGGCTGTGCCTCTGTGCTGCTGCCCGGTCGGTGCCTGGCACGTCTGGCATGGCATTGGCGCTGTGCTGGCTTGATCGTCCGTTGCTTTGGGGATGCTTGGGATGGTCGATTGAAAGCTGTCAACCGTATGCGTAGGAAGGTTTCCAGGAAATGAGAAAGCACCCTCGTAGCCATGAGCTGGTTGACACTTGTGAGCCATCGGTCGTGAGGAAGAGTGAGACCCCGAGGCTGTTGGACAGGGCGAAGCACGGAGTACATTGCCCCATGCTCTGCTGTGACTGATTGCCTCCGTATCGGCCTTGGCTATTAGGACTCGGTCAGATAGCCTCGGGGGTATGACGTCGCCCTCAGAGCTCTGACTCTGGCTCTCAAGGTGCAATAATCAGTCATGCGTGTTTCCTTGTCGGTTGCAACCACGAGAATCCGAAGAGTTTTGCTAAGACATGGAATGAAATGGTGTCTAGAGATTCGGATGAGCGTAAACGGTGAAAGACGATAGAAAAGCAGCATGGCATGGCAGGCACATTGTCGATGGCGGGAAGCTTGAGTGAAGCTTCCCCAACAGACGGAGGCCGGATTGGTTGTGTTCCTGGCGGATGCAGCGTGCCGCCAGAAAGAAAGAGGAGAAGTAGAGGTACCTGAGTAAGTCACTTGCTATCGCCCATTTGCACAATCCCATCCCCGTCCTCCGTCCTCTCTCTTTGAAGCAGCCTCCCGTATCGAACAAGTGACAAGCTGCTCGGGGTAAAGTGGAAAGGTACCTACCCTAAGGTACTGGGTTCCTAGCAGGAACAAGGTACGTACTTGTTGCCTGTAAGCGGGGACTGTCCCAGGGAAACCCCAAACGTGACCCTCCCAGACTGTCCCAGTACCTCCCTTATCGCATTGCCGAGGAAACCCTATCGAGTCATTCCATTGGCTCTCTCGCCATCGCGCTAATCCGGTTTCGGCCCCGTCAGCCACCCTCCAGCTCTTATCTTGGTTGGCTGCGTCACACACTGGCAACACTGGGGCGGCGCAACCATCCTAAGGCCGATACCTCACCTAGAGCTGTGCGCACGCAACCGCTGTCGCTGCCTTCCCTTTATATCTACCCGCTCCCGCTCTCCGACAGCTCCATCGTCTATCTCTCTGCTCCATCTCTCTCCCATCCCTCCCCCTCCTTCATCGACCATCCATCCTCTCAATCCCATCGAGTATTCGTCTGTCCTTGGCGTTCTTCGCAGCTTCAGTTTCCTTCTCTGTCATCACAACCAGCGTCTCCGGTAGACTCTACTCACCTCCACAACATCGCCCATCATGAGAGGCTTCATCGGTGCTGTGGCCGGCCTGGCCGCTGTTGCCAGCGCTACCCCCTCTCTCTCCATTGAGACTGTGCACGACGGCGCTGCACCCCTTCTTTCTTCCACCAACGCCGAGGCCGTCCCGAACTCATACATCGTCAAGTTCAAGAAGCACGTCTCGGACTCCGGCGCCTCGGACCACCACAACTGGGTCCAGAACATTCACTCCTCCGCTCAGGATGAGCGTCTCGAGTTGCGCAAGCGTGGCCAGGAGCCTATGGTTGACGATGTCTTCCACGGCTTGAAGCACACATACAAGATTGGCAAGGACTTCTTGGGCTACGCCGGTCACTTCGATGATGCCACCATCGAGAAGGTCCGGAGGCACCCTGACGTAAGTCCGACCCTGATACCCTCGTCCCCAGATCCAAGACGCACCCCAAACCTGTGGACCCACCATCACTGCAGTCCACGGCAAAGGCGGTCTTGGCTATCCGACCCTGACGGGCTCGGGCTCTCAAGCTCGGCTCGGCCGCTTTCGGTCTCCTAGCCTCATTTTCTGACACAGCCACTAACATGCTTCTTCACAGGTCGAGTTCATCGAGGTCGACTCCGTTGTCCACACTCAGGTTCCCGTCAAGTCCCAGGTTGAGGACAAGTGTGACGGCGAGCTCGAGAAGCTGGCCCCCTGGGGTCTGGCTCGTGTCTCCCACCGCAAGTCTCTCGGCTTCGGCACATATGACAAGTACCTCTACGCTGAGGATGCTGGTGAAGGTGTAGATGCCTACGTTATCGACACCGGCACCAACGTCGACCACGTCGATTTCGAGGGCCGTGCCAAGTGGGGAAAGACCATTCCCTCTGGTGACCAGGACGCTGATGGCAACGGCCACGGCACTCACTGCTCCGGCACTATTGCTGGCAAGAAGTACGGTGTCGCCAAGAAGGCCAATGTCTACGCCGTCAAGGTTCTCCGCTCCAACGGCTCCGGTACCATGTCCGACGTCGTCAAGGGTGTTGAGTGGGCTGCCACTTCCCACACTGAGCAGGTTCAGGCCGCCAAGGATGGCAAGCGCAAGGGCTTCAAGGGCTCCGTTGCCAACATGTCTCTCGGTGGTGGCAAGACCCAGGCTCTTGATGCTGTTGTGAACGCTGCCGTAGATGCTGGTATTCACTTCGCCGTCGCCGCCGGCAACGACAACGCCGATGCCTGCAACTACTCCCCCGCTGCTGCCGAGAAGGCCGTCACCGTCGGTGCCACTGAGCTCGGCGACCGCCGCTCTTACTTCTCCAACTACGGAAAGTGCACTGACATCTTCGCCCCTGGCACCAACATCAAGTCCACCTGGATTGGCAGCAAGTACGCCGTCAACACCATCTCCGGTACCTCCATGGCCTCTCCCCACATTTGCGGTCTCCTGGCCTACTACCTTTCCCTCCAGCCCGCCTCTGACTCCGAGTACTCTGTCGCTCCCATCACCCCCAAGAAGCTCAAGGAGGCTCTCATTGCCGTCGGTACCGTCGGTGCCCTCAGCGACATTCCCCGCGACACCCCCAACGTCCTCGCCTGGAACGGCGGTGGCTGCAACAACTACACTGCCATCGTCAAGGCTGGCGGTTACACTGTCAAGCAGGAGTCCAAGGAGACCACCATCGATGACCTCGAGAAGGCCATTGAGGAGGACTTTGAGGTTCTCTCTGGCAAGGTTGTCAAGGGTGCCAAGAGCGTCGGCACCAAGGCCGAGAAGTTCGCCAAGAAGATCCACAACTTGGTCGACGAGGAGCTTAAGGAATTCCTCAGGGAGACCTCTTTGTAAGCGTTATAATAGAGCGCTAGAATGGTCTCTTTTTTTCCTTTTTCTTTGGGTCCATGAGAGTGTACGCATAGGGTTATTGCGGGATGGGACAGGATGGATGCATCGCTTTCATAGCTACATACAGATCTCATAGCACAACCAATAAGTTTCTTAACTGTAACCATTTCCAACCACGGTGATCTTGATTGTTCAAGTTTGCTAAGTGACCATTGCTGTCCGACCGGCCGTGCCCCAGGAGGGTTGGACAAGTATGAGAAGGCCCAAAGTTTAATGACGTCCATGAGTAAGCCTATCTGTCATGCCTTTGGGTTTGAGGTTGTCAGGTCAAAATAGAATTGAAGTGAGTGTATTCAAGTACAGTAGTGTCACAGAATTCTTGGGGAATTAGTGCCATGGCTGCATGGCTAGCTTCCGTCATCTGAGTCAATCTGGCATTGAGACAATGCATTACAACCGCCTAGTCCTGAATCTCCAGCTAATCTTAGCTTGCCTGACTTTCTGCACCTTGCGCTCGCTGTGTGAAGGGGAAAGAGGGAAGACTGGAATGTGATCCGGTCCCTGCGCGGAAGTAATGGCACAACGGCTGGCTCTTGCCCAAGTACCATCATATGCCTGCCCCCCAAAGGCCAAGGGAAGGGATGGGTCAGCGTTTCTCCTTCCTTCGCCTGGACATGACGTGGCTTCCCACCTCTTCTCTTTGAAAGTTCATTCAATCTTGGAGAAGGAGCAGTCATGGAGCTCGCCGTTACACTAACTGCTGGCTGTTGGTGGCCCTGCTCAAGGGACGACGTCCCTCCGCTACATCCTCCATTCAAGCATTCACGGCTCATCATTTGACACTCTCGACGATACTTCTTCATAGTCTCCCAGCTTGCTTTTGGTTAGCCTCAGGCCTAGTTTCCGAACGTCGACCGACAAACAGCAGCTTCACTTGAATCTTTCTACTTCCCTTTATTCCTAAGCCGCCTCGAGAATTGGTGTCTTCCTTCCGCTAGGCCCTCCTCCTAATACACCCACGCTCACCCTATGCGGCGACATAACAGTACCAAGTCGAGGTCGACTCTGACTCGAAGCAAGTCTACGGCTTCCGTTCGCTCGGCTGTTCAACGATTAGAGCACATTGATCCAGCCACTGCCGAAAGAGATGCTCATATTGCCGCCACCCTATCCTTCTCTCGGGCGAACCACAATGCCGATGTGGACATAGGAATTGAATCTTTGAGGCAATTCCAAAAGCCTTTCAACATGAAGACTTGGTCGGAGAATCCCTCAAGTCAGCTTCCAAGCGAATCGGATCGGCTCAGCTCCAATGCCGGGGGTCTACGCCGGCAGCAGAGTATTCGATTTGTGAAGCAAGGGGCTCGAACCAAGCGAAAGCAAAGTCAAATCAACGATGACTCGCCTGATATAGGGACTGTTTGTCACCGGAGCGTCCTCAAAGATGTTGCCAATCAGCCCGCTAGCCGAACTTGTCGTACTGCCGAGCGTCCATTTGTGAGCACTTATACGACCAACTACATCAATTCTTTACCTCCGAGCGAATCGTTCGGGTCTCCAGACGAATGTGCACCTACTCCAGCATCGTACCGAAGACTGCGCAAGTCACGCTCAATGTTTGCCCCCTTGAATCCGATCGGTCTGCGCCGACCAAGCAAAACATACTTCAGCGAGTCTCCGGAGCAGGAGAATGTACAGCCTGCTTTGGGACGACAGTCTATGCAAGACATGAAGGAGAACAAGCCATCACCGAAGAAGATTCTTGGGCTGAGGAACCCAAAGTCAATGAGCTTTCTCAAAATTCGGGGCGTTCTGGATTCTGACAGACTTGGGAGCCGACAGCAGATCGATTTGGCAGTCCAAGAAGCCGAGGACAGTTTCCGCAAAGACGTCGAGGAACAACGGCAATCGAAACCGCGACCATCGACGATATTCTCGAAAGCAAAGAAAGGTCAGGCGGCTCTGAGTTTACGCCGATCCATGAGAGACTTCAGTGCCGATGTTCAATCGCTTGGCCCGGAAAATGGTTTCGTGATCAATAAGGACGCTTCTCTTCGAAAGAAGGCCCGAAAAGTCTCAAGCAGTCTCAAAAGCAAATTGAAAGATATGTTCCGCCGGAGTAAGAAGGATGATTTGGTTGTGGAAGCTAGCGGGCCTCCTTCAAAGGTTTCGAACGTAGTCCAAGATCTCGTTGGCGTTGACAACGAACAGGACGATGCATACATGGACATTGCGGACCCTGTGTTGTTGGACGAGTGTTCGATCTCACAAGTGCCTTCACGAGTCCCGTCTCTTCACGATGCTTCCCCAACCCAGAAGCTTCACTCGCGAAAAGGAAGCATAGAGAGCATTGGAGGTGAAAGAAAGGCATCAGATGAGAAATCTCGCGTCACCAGTTGGACGAGCTCGGGCACTCATACTCTTAACAGTCAAAGTACTTGGGGCGGGGAGCGGGAGCGTCAGCGGCTGTCCGTCATCAAAGAGATTGGACCACATAAGTCCTCATCTTCTTTCCAGCGACCAGGCCTGGCTGACCGTAACCCATTCAAGTCCGAACCACCACCTCCGCAACAGGATGAACTCGTCCGCCTCGGCCCATCAGTCGATAGCGCCAGAGTCTACTCCGCCCTCATGAAGCGATTGGACGAATGCAAGCAAATAAGTCAACGAGAAGAGCAGCTACGGCATGGTAGTGATGGGAGTACCGGTCTCAATTGGAACGGCAAAGTTGGTTCGTCGACATCTCTCGGCGGCCAGGAACTTGACGAAGCTACGAATCAAGACCTACCAACCATAAGATGTGTTTTACAAGAGGACGACGTCTTCCATGACAGTCCATGGGAGCAAAGATTGAAAACAGTGGTTGAGACCGAAGGCCCTCAGTCGGCTCATGATGAAGCGGTATCCCCATCCGATAGTACAATGCATCATCGCCAGCGTTCGGCTTCTGAGACTACCTTTGAAGCTTACAAGCCTTACTCAAGACCCGTGGCCGGGGTCGAAACAGGCCACTCGCCCTCGAAGCCGTATAATTTGCAGGGCGATAAGACCGCGAATCCACCAAGAGCATTGTCTAATCGCAGTTCGGCGTTCTTTGGCAGCCCGACTTGCCATCTCTTCCGCACCACGAGTCCATATCGCAAGGTCTTGCAAGAGAAGGTCAGATCAGAGTCACAGGCTCCAGTTTCAGATCAGTTACTCTCACCATCAGTTTCAATGCTGAACCTCGACCTTATACCTACAAGGCGTCGCCCGAGTCTCTCTAAGGAAGATTCCCGACTTGCTTACTCTGAAAGTATATACTCTAACGATCTTCTCTCCCCACGTGCATTACCACAAAGTGTCGGGGGACAAACAGAACCAAGAGTGCCACCCCGACACCCCAACCATGTAGTGGCCGGTTCTGATTATCGACAGACACCCTCTATGTCCAACAACTTGGAGGCTGTTGCGAAGGATCTCAGTCCTAATGCTACACCCGTGATTAACACACATCAAATACGCTACTTGCCAAGTGGCTCTTATACCTATACACCGACAATGCCACAGAGCCGAACGGTCTCAAACGCAAGTTCTGTGGAGTGGAAGACTTGGCTCTCTGCCAATGCGGCGCATACCGACGCTAAGTTGGCCAATACTGGAACTCAGCACCTGGCGGAAGTTCGTCACGCAAAGACAAGTATGCCTAGAAGCTTGGGTCATGTGCGTGAGCGCGCAGAGATTGAGGACCCTGAATCTCCAACTTTGTACAGAGCTATGGGCACAGGAAAGACCAAACTGCAAACGCCACTAAGAGTGACGAGCCACAATCCACGTCAAGTGTCGTCTGCCAGCCGCGTTGAGCTTGGCATAGACGATTCAAAGTTCTCCACACCTTTGAGAGACGAGAACACGATCCCTGAGACGGGCGGACGCGTGGCTAGGCGTCTTCGTGGCATCTACAACCCTCCACCAATTCCGCCCAGAAGCTCTTTGAGGACGACCCCTTCGATGCCGGTTTTGCAGTCTCGTCTTTCTCATAGCAACTTACCCGTTAAAGCCGTAGATCGACAAGCTTCCAAGGTTCGCAGCATGGACGCCATCCCAAAGGCCCAAAATTCCGAGTCCCCCTTCCAGCCCAAGACACGATCTCCGGTCAAATTAGTCAGACGCACCGGACTACAAAAAGGGCTTCAATCGTCTGCTTCCAGCCCAGGGTTGACAATCGAGAAACAATTCGGTCCCATGCTGGCCAGTCATGATGGCGGGTCTCCCAGGGAGAGGCGGGGGTCCGTTCGTCGGCTACTAGACTCCAGCGACCCGCATGATGGTGAGAGATCCGATACCGCGAGCCTTGACTGGAAGGCCGAAGCAGCTGGCAGCCATCACTTGGTGGAGAATTTTCTCAGCAGTAGGCGTCGGCCACCAGTCCATGGGGCGTTCGTATGAGAAGAGACTGTGGGTTTCTCGTAATGGAGACGTATTCGGTTCAGTAAAACGCTTAATGCAAGTCTATTGTCAGACACTTTTATAATTAACGATGACTCGCGGGTATCATAGATGTGTTGTTACAAAGTTCAATGTTAATACATGGTTTTGTTGCGAACGCAAGGCTCTTGTGATGGCATCATGTTACGGATTTCGGGACATCCCCAAAACGATACTGAGCCCACGCGAAGCTGCCTTCCTTCATGGTCCACAGCTGCTTCCCGCGGTCGTCCCCCGCAGCCCCGGCGGCCACGTGAATGGGCATGAGATGATCCATGTACGGATGAGCCTGCTTGGCATCGGGCCGCCTGCAGACCTGAGCCATCTTGTCCTGCCTCTCGGCGACGTTGGAGACCTCGACAGCCTCTTTGAGAGCGTCATCGAAGCTGACGGCGTACGGCATCGGCCGCGGATCGTTGCTCATGTGGTAGAGATTGTGAACGGACATGCCCGCGCCAATGATAACGACGCCTTCGTCGCGTAGGGCGGAGAGGGTGGCGCCGAGGCGGTAGTGAGCATCCGGGTCCTCTGAGCGGAAGAGCGATGCTTGGACTAGCGGGACCTTGAGGGGGTTTGTGGAAGGGTTGAAGGCTACGTGGAAGCCTGCCCACACGCCGTGGTCTAGGCCGCGGTCTGTCGTGGGCACGCAGGAGATGTTGCTGCCGTAGGAGGCGGAGAGGAGGGAGCAGACGCGGGATGCGAGCTGCGGGGAGCCGGTGTTCGGGTAGGTTGCTGAGTAGTAGTGGAGGGGGAAGCCGGAGAAGTCGTAGATTAGCGGGGCGGGGCCGGGTGCGGCGTTGATTGAGATGGTGGTGGGGGAGGGGGATTGCCAGTGGGCTGAGAAGACTAGGATTGCGGTGGGGGCGAGGGAGGTTATTTCGGCGCCGATGTGTTGGAGGGTTGGGTAGACTGGGTGGGCTTTGTTGTACATTACGTCTGGCTTTGTGGTGTTAGTTTGGTGGTGAGGTTGTATGGTGAGGGTGAGGCATGTGGTGAGAGTGAGAGTGAGGCGAGGTGATGAGATGAGAGTGAGGGACGGGGAGGGTTTGCTTACGCCGCCGTGGGAGAAGAAGTAGACTGGCATCCGTGGTTTCTTCATCTTTGGTGAGTCTGTAATTTGAGAGGAAATTGAGGGTATGAGAGTTGTCGTCACTGATGTGAGGAAGGCGCGGAGAGTCGGTGAGAGCATGTAGGCCGTTAGAGCGACTGTGAGGGACAGGAGGAATAGGGGATTTAGACGAGGCATCTTGGAGTGCGGTTGGTGGCTTAGTAGTTGACTTGACACGCCCGCGATGTTGTGTGTTTGAGTGACCGTCCTGGAGCGGGACGGGAGTCAAGCATATATGAACCCCCGGACGTCGTTGGGCGCTACCCGACGGGCCGGATGAGGGATGCGGCGCGGGGGCGGTGGAGGGGCCGGATGGCGGGTGATTTTGTTTTCGTCGCGCGCGGCCGGGTCCACTGTTGTCTTAGCGGGCGGGCGGAGTGGGAGGGCCGTTCGAGGTGGGCGACGAAATAAGGTAGGATGCGTCAACGCAGGGCCATTAATAATCATCCTATTCTATACAAAGTACATGCTTCAAAGAACACGTAAAAGATAAGAGGTAAGAATAAGAACAACGAAAATAACAGAAATAGTAAGAGCGAGAAATCAATAAGAGCAACAAGACAGTAAGAGCTACCGGGACTGTAGCAGTAACGGGGTCACTAGGGGAAATAGGAACAATTTGAACAGTGCCCTAGGGATGCCAGGAATAGAGCTAGGGTATCGGGCAGCAAATGATTGTGTCACCCACTTGCGTACCAATATGCGCCGAGGTGGTCGTGAGATCGTGGCCGGAGGATTACCGGAATTACGGGTTAGGGGGTTTAAGAGAGGTATGTTTGGGCCATCTACTGATCTCATGGCCTGATGGAGTGCGAAGCTCGAGGTGTAGAGCAGTCTAAGCTCTAGGGTGAGCTTCGAGCCTCCCCCTGCTCGTCAGTGAGGTGATGGGTGCTGACTGCTATCATTCTATGACTTTGCACCACACCACTATAAGTAAAGAATGCGTTCCAATGGCGCAAAGAATACACAATGACAAAAATCTTCTCGTAGCCTATCAATCCATTCGTCTCACCAGCCAGGAGGTATTCATCAAGGCCAACGGTTCAGGTCAAACTGGGCTGGTTGGTGGAGTATCTACCTTACCTAAGTTCGAGCTCAAGAATCAATACACCCGCAGCCCTAAGTAGTACGCCACGACAGGCTACGAGTTCGAGCTCGATTCACAGCAAGTGCACCAGGAGATGTAGCCACACCGGCAGTGAACTCTGCGTTTCCTTCGCATATCTTACGAGTAAGCATCCGTTACCACGAATGGGACGTGTGCAAGCTGCATTGGAAAACGGTACCGAGCCCGGATCAGCGCCCCGCATACGCCATCGGAGAAAGGGTAAGAAAAACCCACATCTTAATCGGCCCGCCGCCCGAGCTTTCGCCGCGTCGTCTCTCAGCTCTGTCTGTCCTGTGCTGCCCTTGCTTGACACAATCCGCAAATGCTCGTCTCGCGAGTAACCGCAACAACCATCCTCCTCACCCTCCTCGCGCCCTTCACCGCCGCCACACCGCAACAGGCGCAACAACAACAAAAGCACCTCGAGCAGCAGGATCCGCTTTCTGAGGCAGAAGAGCTCCACCCCCTGCCACCTCATCACCCGTCTCTCGCAGGCATCGCAGAAGCGCAAGGTCCCGACTTGCTCTCACCCCCTACCACCTACGAAGCTATGTCGTCCTCCGTCGCCCGGACGGCCCCGCTCGTGTTCCCGGCCGCGGGAAAGCACACGGCTACCGTCATCTTCGCTCATGGCCTCGGCGATACGGGCCACGGCTGGGCGAGTGCCGTTGAGAATTGGCGGCGGAGGCAGAGGCTTGACGAGGTCAAGTTTGTGCTGCCTCATGCGCCTCAGATCCCCATTACCTGTGTAAGTTGACACCCTGTCTCAGTTTCTTCAAATGGTTCCCTATCAAAATTCGGAAGTCGTTGCCGATTACTAACATCATGCACAGAACTGGGGCATGCGCATGCCGGGTTGGTTCGACATTGTAAGTCGCGCTACAATCTTCGACCGCCACCGCCAACAACAGGCACAAGCACCATCATCATCATCCCCATCATCGCCCAAGCTAACCACCATCCCCCACTCACAGAAAGTCCTCGACGGCACAGTCGAGGCCCTCCGCGAATCCGAAGACGAGCGAGGGATCCTCGCCTCGTCAGAGTACTTCCAGCAGCTCGTCCAGGCCGAGGTGGACGCCGGCATCCCCGCCGAGCGCGTCGTCCTCGGCGGCTTCAGCCAGGGCGGCGCCATGGCTATTTTCTCGGGTCTGACGGGCAAGCACCGGATCGGCGGTATCGTGGGCTTATCGTGCTGGCTGCTGCTGAGTAACAAGTTTGCCGGCCTGGTCCCCGAGGAGAAGGCGAACCAGGAGACGCCCGTGTGGTTGGGCCACGGCGACGCGGATCCGCTTGTCAGGCCTGAGTTGGGGGCACTGAGTATGGATGCGTTGAAGGGGCTTGGGTATAAGGTGTCGAGGACGCTTTACCCGTGAGTATTCTCTGTCGCCCTCTCACTTCCTTCTTCATAGGGCCAGGTCACAATTAGGGCGGAATGCTGACATCAATCACAGGGGTATGGGCCACGCCGCTTGCCCTGAGGAGTTGGACGACGTTGAAGCTTTCTTGTTGGAGAGACTCCCGCCTACTCAGAAGTAGGGTGCTGTTGGCAGAGATCTTTTTAGGAATAGCTGGAAGATGTGTTTATGTATGTAGAAAGAGCACAAGGCAAAGGAAGGGTAGAGAGAGCTTAGGAGCCAGGGAAGATGGTCTTTTTCGACAGAGAGGATGTTCGATTGAACCAGTCTTGCTCAAGATAAACAACACGATACATCATTTCCAATACCAAAAGCCTACATTCACTAAGCCAATCGCTCGATGAGAATGTATGTATACATGGTCCTGTAAAGTGAGAGCGAACGAAATCGATGATGTAGAATAAGTTGCCTCATCTTCGATAGCCTATTTGAGAAGTAGTTTCGTTTCAAATTGCCTCGTGGACCCGTTGTGAGAGATGAGAGTGAGATCACACTCAAATGCGATCATGGACAATGTCTCTCATTAAGCAACTCAGTGAGAGGGTCGCCTTGCCTCACATTCCTAAGCACACAACATACACAGACATGCACATAATTAATAAGCTTACCTAACCATGTCGGACTAAGCTAATCAACTTGTGGCAAGCTCGTCAATCCGCCGTTTGGTTGCGCTAGCGTTGTCTCGTCCAAGGGCCGTCGTCTTATCTCACCTTCATTCTTCACTGCGGTGTGTGGTGCTGCAGCAACTGTTCTTTAGTCTTCCCTCCCGCCTGCCGCAAAGCAGGGCATCTTCCAGGGTCACCTGCGGGTCCCCTTTCCCCCCACCCCATCGTCCCCCGAATCACAAGGTCTCCCAGCGCCATGGGCCCCCATGGACATCCAAAAGACGCCAGCCCAGAATGCGCCAGATGCGCCAGATGCCCCAATCCTGAGCCAGCCGGAACCCTCCCAAGTCCCAACGGGTGGTGACCTTGTGCTGTCCGTCCTGGGAAGCTGCAGCTTGCATCTGCATCCAGCAGCAACCCGGGCAGCAGCGGCGGCGTTCGTCTTGCGTTTCTCCAAAAAAAAGATCTCCAACCACAACTTTCCCATTTCTTCCCTCTTTCTTTTCTTCATTATCTTCATCGTCCCGGTGGGAGCGCTTCTCATAGCAAGCTGTCAGATTTCTAATTCTTGATCTTCACCGGGCCCCTTGAGCATGTCACTGTCCGCACTGGCGTTGTGAAGACCACGATAAACAAAACAAAGCCCACAACTCCACGTCCTGTCGCACACATCCCGGCACATAGCAACCCCGAAGCCCCGAGATCTTCCTCCCCTCCCAAAGATACCATACTCCCCGCAGCTGTTGCTATCGCCAACAGAAACCAAGAAGAAACGTAACGAAACGGCACCCAAACGGCGAAAGGGAGGAAAGTCACCGCAAAACTTCCAGAAGCTCTAAGCCCGACGATGGCATCGCAAGGCGCACCAGGCGACTCCCGCCCCATAACCCCAACTCCCTCACAACTCCCGCCGGTCCCCGCGTCGCCAGTCTACTCCCTCGCCTCGACCGCGAACCCGCTCTCCTCCTACCATCTGCCCCTCCCGCCACCACCGCAACCCGTACACGCCGTCCTCACAAAGTCCGACTTAGAGTCTTCCCAGACCGCCTACACCGACCTCATCCAGTCCGCAAAGGCCTACCGCATTGCCCTCGCATCCCTCTCCACCGCAGCCTCCGCCTTCGGCTCCGCACTCGAATCCTGCGCAAGGCTCAAAGAAGCCCGCGCAGAGTCTCTATCGGGCGGCATAAACGGCCTCTCGGGAGGCGGAGGCGGTGGTGGCGGCGGAGGCCTGTTGTCGGCGAGTTTCACGGCCGGCGGACCCAAGGGATCCTGCACCGCCGACCTGCTTCTCTCCGCCTCGGGCGTCCACCATCTGGTCGCGAACCACCAGCAAATTCTCTCCGAGACCGTCTACCGCGACTTCGAGGTCCCTTTACTTCACGAGCTAGACCAATGGCGACAGCGCGTCGACGACGAGGAGGAGGCCTACGTGCGCGAGGTCAAGGCCCGCAACGCCGAGATCAGGAAGCTGGAAAAGGAAGGGCTGAAGCTGCATAAGCAGCGCAGGAGAGACGTGGGCAAGTTCAGGGCACACCTGGTGGACCTGACGACGAGGCTTGACGGGTTGACTTCCCTGCACGGGGAGCACGCGCGGACGCTGCTGCGGGAGAGCCAGGATACCAGCGGGCGGATCCTCGAGTCGTCGTGTAGTCTTGTGCGCGCCGAGGTCGATATCTTTGAGTCGCTTGCGCGCAAAGGGTGGAGCGGCGGCGGGCTGGACGAGTTGTTGGAAAAGGGCGCGGATCTGTTTGCCAGCGACGAGGTCGGTGACCACTCTGGGCTGGGCAGCGTTATTGGCGGTGGTGTAGGCGGTGGCGGCGGGTCGGCTGAGACGGCCAAGTTGTTTAGCATTCTCCCGCCCAAGAGTATCCTCGCGGACACGGCGTCGGATATGACGAGGCGAGGGGGCCACGCGCGGGGCGATAGTTTGCTCAGCGACCCGGACCGGTACCAGAGTCTCGCTGCCGCTGCGGGAGGGCCGTCGCCCGGCTTCGGCGGCGACGACAACGATACGGATAGCATCTTTTCCGAGACGAATTTCAACCGACCCAGGGGCGTGAGACCGTTCTCACCCCAGCCTATCCGGCGGCACGCTACCGATGTTACGTTTGACAGTCTGGGGGTCGGTCTGAGTGAGGAGTCGAGGGGACAAGAGGACAAGACCACTGAGAATGAGGTGGAACAGAGGCGGCATGATGTGCTCAAGGAGGAAGATGAGGACGAGACTCTCGGGGAGAGGCCGAATTGGGGCGACGAGCCGGTTGACTCCAAAAGTCATACTGAAAGCGGAGAAGAAGAAAAAGAACAAGAAGGAGAGTCTGCGGCGTTGCTTGGAGACACTGCCGTCGTGGAAGATACCACCGCGCAAGACGGGGCGGCAATCGCGAGCGGGTCGGAGGAGAGGGGGCGGCCTGGACGGCGGTGGAGTGTGAATGAAGACGACGCATAGACGTTTGTTTTTTCCGTTCGAGTTTCCGGTGGTTGCTCTGCTCGGGGGGTTTGACGGCGGCGAAAAAGACTCATGATTCATTCTTGTTATACCCAATTAGAGGCGGCGTTGTTCATTTTCTACATACACCTGACCTAAGGGATTCACTCCCCTGGCTATCCCCTTTGGTGCTTTGCATAGATACATAGTCTGTTATACATATTCTGGTTGGCAAAGTCTTCTTTCACACACTTCTAAACATGACGAGATTTGATCTGGGCATATAGTGATCCGCTGACTGAGCCTCTCAAATCTCTGTTTCGGTGCTTGGTCTCTGACCGAACCTGCTTCTGCTCGCCCAAATCTATGAACTATAAACAAAGTAGTTATGCGCGTGGTATTCGTATAGAACATGAAACTTTTTTTAAAACCCCGCCCGTTTACCAGCCCCTTTCCAAACCAAACGCCGTCCATCTCGCCCGTCAAGTTAAACACCCACAAGCCCCCCTTTATTGAGAGTTCTCGCTCGTCTCCAAATCCATGGTTCGAATCAACTCCTTTAGTCGTCCTTGTCGGCGCTCATAATCTCGCCGCCAAAGAGCCCAAACGTAGAGTCGAGCCAGCAAATGACCTTCCAGTACAAGCTGGCGCGGTTCCAGTCAAAGTCGCCGTTATCGGTGCGCGGCACCTCGTTGCCAATCATGGAGCCGCTGAACCATTTCAAAAAGGGCACCATGTTGACCAGCCTCTGGGTATAGCTCTGCTGCGGCAGCAGGGCCTGCTCGGCGGGGAGGAGCTTAGCCTTGCGCGCGGTGGGGATGCGCCGGCAGAAGAGGCTGTCTTCGGTGGTCGTCGTGGCGGTGGTCAGCGCCGACTGTTGCTGCGAAAAGGGGTCGGCGGTCACCGTCGCGGATGAGTTTGTCGCGTTGGAGATTGTGGCCGTCTCGATTGTGTTGGAGGAGGTGAGAGATGTGGGCGGAGAGAGGTCGCTCATGGAGCGGGCGTTGGGGAGGGCAAAGGGGTTGCCGCCAGTGGGCTTGTTGGATGATGCGGTGCGGTGCTTGCTGCGCGGCGTCCGGTGTGTGCCGAAACTGCCTGCGGGGACGGACTGTGAGCGGCCGAGATCGTCGGCGCTGGGGACGAGGGAGTCGACGTCTGGGATGGGCTCGTCGCGGGCAGGCTGGTGGCCGTGGTAGGGTTCCGCGTAGACGAGGTAGCCCAGCACGCGCTGGGGGCTGGCGTAGACGGCGGCATCGGCGGCGTCTGCGGACTCGAAGGTGACCTTGATCCAGTGTTGGCCGCCGTCGGCGCGGTTGACCTTTGCGCGCTCCTCGGGCGTGAGGCCTCTTCGCCGGGTGAAGGCAGGATCGCGGAGCTCTGACTTGTAACGGCGTTGCTCGAGGGGCGGTTCGCGGGGGTAGTCCTCGCAGATCAGGCCGGCGAGCTGCTCGTAGTGGGAGATTGCGGCGTACTGTTGCGACGCGGAGCGGTAGCCGCGGAGGACGACTTCGGTCGGGACGTGACGGGTTACGCGGGGCTCGGCGGCGGCGGCGGGCACGTCGTCGGCTGCAAGGAGGGGCGGCTGCGAGAGGCCGGAGGTCTTGCGCTGGGGTGCGGCGTTGGGACCGGAGGCGGAGGAAGGATTCGTCGCGCCGCTGCCCGATGTTGATGAGGGCGCCAGGTTGGAGTTGGAAGTTGTGGCTTGGGAGGAGATCCAGTCGCCAAATATCTTGTCGGCGGCTGCTACTGTTGGGTTTTCGCGACGGCCGGCGGGAGTTCCTGTTCTCGAGCGCGAGCGGCGTGTTGATTTTCCAAAAGATCCAGTCTCTGCTACGCCACGGCGGCGGGCGCCAGGAAGGCCTTCTTGTCTAAAGGGAGGAAAGTCTGTGTTAGCGGCATCTCATTGCGCGTGGCATTGAGCTTGCAGTCGAGCGCGGTTGGGTTTGAGACGTACTGTGGGAAAACCATGGCGTAGGGTCGTTTGATGCCGTCGTCTCCAACGTAAAGCTCCTCATCGGGAACATTGTGAAGAATAAGGGGCGCCATCGTGTCGTTGGTATTAGGAGGATGTTGCCTCGTCGAGTAATACGGTCCGGGGTAGGTGTCGTAGAAGCGGCGGTATGGGTAGCTTCGACGTGCTTCGAGGCAGGCAAACACGATCAATCGCACTCTAACTCGGACGCAGGGAGATAAAGAAGACTGGGAAAAGGAGTGTGCGGTGGCCGCCGAGGTGCTGTTGTGCCTTTGGCTCTGGGAGGACAAAGAAAGCGCCTTACTGTAGTCGACTTCACATGGCCCGTGGTGATGATTTTCTAATGCGAAAAGGCACCCAGGCCTGACCCAGCAACGACCCAGCGGAATATTAGCCTGCCGACTTCCGGGCGTACTGGAACCCAGGCGCTTCCTGTCGGGGTTTGCAGGGGTCCCAAGATCTGTGCACACCGTCCGGTGCTTATGTCATCTGTTGTCTGATCGTAACCTCAAGTCTCAACCACAAGAATCTATCATTCGCGATCCCGCAAAGTACTTTGCTCATAAAGCGACGTTTGACTATTTTTATTGGGCTAACTTATTGCCGACGGTTATCTATGTTTGTAAGTCCATTAATAACAACCAGAAGCGTATCGAAGTTTGGGTTTGATATGAAAACATTCTTAGTTGAGGCATCAACTTCCAAAACCAAGCTTCCTTCTATCGTGGTCCTCCTCTATCGCAATTTCAAACTCTCTGTTAATTGGAGCTTCCTCTTGTCAATTCAAGATACCCTGATCAGAAAGACTGACTTCTAGTACGAGTACCTCTGGCGATACCATCTCAAAAGTTCCAAGTGCACACATCTTTCCTCAATTTCTGATATTTCTCTTCCTCAAACCTTGGTTGAGTAGAAATACCACGCTACTAATACCTTAGTCTAAATCAGTTTGGGGTTATTTGTTCCCCGAGATGCCCAAAGCCGTAAACGCTAGCCAAGTCCAAATTGTGTTGCAAATTGTACTAGCTGTGACGTTGAGATAATGCCTGGGGATAATATCTTTGTAAGGTAGGTAGCTTCTAACGTAACAAAACGGATGACGACGGCAAGCGACGGACTACCAAGACTAGAATATGTATCAATCATGCCACCAAAACAATACAAGCTCAACAATCATCTCCATCGTTCTGACAAGGTCCTGGTAAGAATTGGGTATTATCAGTCAGCTACTCCCTTGACTTTCTGCCGAGCCTGTAAGGTAAAGCTTCCAGCATGATATCATGCTAAGGTACCTTCCATTGAGAATGGTGCTTGGTAGGTACCTTACATAGTGGTGTAAGTGCCTACCTTAAGAAGTAGCAGTTGTGAGCCATCAGAACAGTTCAAACTGCGCGTACCCGTACCTGTCTTCATCTGAGGTAGGTGCTCACGAGACAAGGCAGGTGCCCATTGGACAACGTGCCTTCTGCAACTTGGAAGACTCTCGACATGGCAGGAGCACTTGGGGAACCGCGAGGCAACAATGCTCGAATACGGAAGGCACCTTTCAGCCTGCCTCATCCGTCAACGCGCCACGACGCGACTGCTTATCCTCCCTCTATGTCGTCCCTTCTCCCTTCTTCCACACTCACCCCGTCACTTCCGCACCAACACCATAAAGACCACGCCCAACCTCCTACTTTCTGCCAAATCTAATTGTCTCGAAGCTTCAACTCCCGCCACGACGGCGTTGATCTCTTGTGTAGAAACTATCATGTTCTACAGCCACGAGAGTTGGTCATTCCAGTCGAACACCGAATCCCACCTGTCACTAACACCGAGCAGTCCTCACCAGCCACCAATTCGGTGTTGCGACCATCTGGTGAGCAAGATCCTGTCCGTATGAAATAATATTTCTACTTACCCCTTATCTCCAGGGTCATTGCGACTATTGGTCCTCGTGGCGCTGGCACTCACAAAAAGGTGTCCCGTCGGGCTATCGAAGATGTCGATATTCGGAAGGCTTGCGAGAAGATCATTCAACCGGGAGCTCCCATCTCACTCCGTCTACAAAGCAATCTCCTCTATGGGGTCTCCCGTGTTTACTCATCCCAGTGTAAATATATGCTCACCGATACAGAGAAGGTCCAAACGACGATGAGAACCTTTCTTAGACTCATTGCCAACAACAAGACTGATCCCAAGGCCGGAAGAGCAAGGTATGTCCACCGACAATCCTCTCGACACATTTGCTAATTTTGCCAGGCGCGAGCAAATTACCTTGAGCGACGACCCGGGCTTCGTTCCTTCGAGTGTTATGCCCTACTTCACCATTGACGACGACGGTAGTCCCTGCTTCGTTTCTGGCAGTCAGCCATCTTCAGGCTCCAGAAACAAGTCGCAGTCACAACTCAGTCCGTTCCCCGATCCCATCGACTTCCTTGACGACAGTGGCCACGGAAATTCCCCGTTCTATCTCGACTTTTTCCAGTCGCCAGATATCCCAGATTTCCGCTTGCCTTCTCCCTTCGTGCAAGGCTCTGCACAGAAGACGCTCCTTCCTCGATCTCGGGACGATATGGAACTCGACATGAATGCAGACCCTTTCGGTACTCTGGACGACTTCGACAACTTTGGTGGCGTGGAACTAGCAATTGACGAAAACGGGGCAGTCATCCTGGACGAAGACGAGCTTGAGTTATCTGAGCTTCCAGGGATCGACATGGACGAGGTCGACATTCTAATTCAGCATGATCAGGTCGCGGACGATCATCAAGTTGCTGGCGATGTCCTTGCTGTCGATGTCCTTGCTGTCGACGCGCAACATGCCGTGCCCTTGCTCGGAAGCGACCCTCTTCCGCCTTTGAGAGATGAGCCATTGGTCCCTGAGGCCTCCCGGAAGGTTCAGAGCGACCAAGCAGTTGCCCCTGTCAACAAGCGTCGCCGCATTCTAATGCTAGATAACGGCACACAGCTCTCCCGTTCAACTCTCAAATCCTGGCAGGAAGGCTACCTCGATAACACGGAAAGAGCGACCAAGAGGCGCAGGGGCAACGCAAACCAAGCCAAAGAGAACGCCTACTTCTTTCTTTTTGGAAAGGGCATTGGAGGCGTGGGTACCTATGGGGTTGACTTCCCCTTAGCTGAGCTGTTCGCGGGCAATGGCCTGCGTGACATCATTTACGGCCCGCCCACAGAAGAGGAACGCGAGGCTCAGACACCTTCCCCCAAAGGCCGTCGGAGACGAGCAGGCGAAGCATTTGGAGAGGACAGCAATGAAGATGCGGACCGAAACGTTCGACCCAGGCTCAATGAGACACCGCAGCAAGGCCGCCTTATGGACGATGACACTGGCTTCGACATGGCCTTCGGGGACGATTCGATGCCCGAGATGGGCATGGAGGCTGGCCAGCCCATGCGCGACAATCATTCATCGTCCTTGATGCCTTGGGCCCAAACCCCTTCGGTAGGCAGGGGCTCTTCCGTTGCCAGCCACAGCGCCCAGAGGCATGAAAACATTAGCCGCCAGAAGTCTGCCAGTATCCGCGGAAGCAGCATGCCACCTTTCGAGCCCCTACATGATGCGCAGCACACGGACGACTTCGACGCCTTTCCCTTCGACATGCCGGCGTCACAGGACTTGGCTCCTGAAGGTCTCGACCCAGCTGAGATCCTTATCACTGCCCAGCAGGAAGGTGAGAACGACTCTCAATGGATGCGATCGATGCTCGACACCGCAAGTGGAGAGTTCCTGCAATGGACAGAGGAAGAAGCCAAGAAGACGGGCCAAATCAAGGAGGGAGATGCGAAGAAATATCGTCGATGGGTTGATTTTGATAATCTCATCGAGCCCACGAAGCAGAACCACGTCGTCGCGGCCCAGGCGTTCTATCATGTTCTCGCTCTGGCGACCAAGGACGCCATTACAGTCGAGCAGCATGTTGCGGATCTGCAGCCCTTCGGGCCTATTCGAATTGGAGTTGACATGACGGCGCACATCAACAGCGAGGATTGACAACTGAATAACGTATTCAACGATCGATTCTACGACACGATATAACGACACGGGGTGCCTAATGCTGCAAATTGCCTGAAAGAATCGGGGAGAGTTTGTTTGCTTGAAAAGTTTCGTTCGGGGAGGGAGGTTCGTTTGACATTTTCTGCGTCTTTGATTGCCAGCTTTACATTGCGACACATTTGGTTTTCCGGATTAGGATGAAGGGGGTTCTTCTCGAAGTGAGAAGGCGAATCCAGTCATCTAAGGACTAAGGTATCGATCGGTCTGGTGGAGAATCTGGGAACTTGGAATTGCCATCTCGAGGAATTGGGATCACATACGGGCAGAAGACTTGCTAAACATCGAACACACATTAGCTACATTCACCAGAAGAAGTTCTTGATTTTGAAGATGTCATTGAGGTTCATTATTACGTGCACTCATTGGAAAAGCTAGACTATTCGTAGACATCCTCCTCATCGCCAACTCCTTCCCGATCCTCAAACTTCATGTAGACAATGTCGGGATTCTCGGCCGCCGGACCCATGACTTTCGTCCAGGCATGCTTGACCGGCTCCAGAGCCGTGTCGCTGAAGGCAAGATCGAGCGGCAGGCTAGGGAGGACGTCTGATGCATCTGCGGAATTTGACGCAGCCGCATGTGCCTGTTGGTACGCGACCTTGTAGATCGCCTGTGACTTGTGCTCGCCATCGCCGAGGGCAGAAAGCAACGAAGCCAAAGCCTTTTCCAAGGCTTCGGGTGAGGTTGGTGTCATTGGAGTGACAAAGTAGAGAACGCCTAAACAGTGACCTTGTTAGTCGTGTGACAAAACTATACGAGGTAGTTGCAGGTCAAAGTGTGAAGAAAATGTGTACAATCAGTTTCACAGAAGTTTACGTCAGAGCAAAAGCTCAGGCAATGTAGATAAGTTTTTTTCTGAAATCATCATGTGTACGATGGAGGGCTTAAAATAGGGAGAAATAGGGGGATGTTTGAACTTACTCTGTCCGGTTGGACACTCCCCAGTCTCGCTCGAATGAGCAAAGACGTAAATGGGGAATGCTGATGCAACATCGGCGATGGAGTTGGCCGGGAATGCAATGACTGCTACAGCTGGTGTAGGCGATCCTTCGCCAACAGCCTCGAACAAAGACGAGAGCGGCGAGTTGACGACTGCAGTCAACCTGCTCACACGCTGGCCGCCGGAGGCAATCCCCTCTGCGCCGCGAAAGAACGTCCGGGATTTCACCGTGACGTCGCTGGTTAAGTCGACCTCGAAGCGAGCGCAGTCTTCCTGGGCTTCGTCGAGCTGGCGCGTAGCTTTCGTGCCCGTGCCTAGCATGTAGACTGCGCCGCCGACGGCGCAAGCGCGGCAACCGACTTGCGCGATCTCAGAGAGACCGCCCCATTTGGGGTACACAGCAGCGAAGCCTGGCCCGAAGGCGCCCATGGAGGAGAGGTGCCTGTGGATAGCGGCCAAGCCGTCCTTGGTTGTGACCTTGCCGTCCAGACTCAAGGTAAGCGTGACGACGTAGGTCTGCAGAGCGGTGTCCAGCTTGAAGTCCGACGACAGGAACTCCGACAGAGGCTTGTCGGCATGTGGAGCCCATATGCCCTTGTTGTCTTCCGAGTTGTAGTCGAAGACGAACTTGAGGAACTTCATCAGCGACCGCTTCGCCCTTCCGGGGATAGCAGTTGTGGAGAAGACGGCTTCGCGGGTTGAGGGGATGGGCACAAGGCTCGGTTTTCCGGCTTCGATCCCGCTACCGGTAGCTGGTGGGGTGTAGATGAAGAAGGACCCAACGGCGAGAAACTCGATCTGTCGGAACGCGCGCGACGATACGAGTTGCTTCACCAGCTCTGAGCGGGTGTGTATGATCTGCGGCGCGAGAGCGAGAGAGTAGGCTCTCGGGAAAGAGAGTGAAGGTCCGGAACCCGTTGCTACCTCGGGCTTGCTCACCGTCACTGACGAGAAGACGCGCGGTGATCCGGCGACATCGTCGGCGGGAGCAGCGTTCGCAGTCGCCCACTCTTCAATCTCTTGCAAACTGAAGGCGGCTTCGGGGCCGCCATAGTACTCGTTGGGATCGAGGTGCAGAATTTGCTTTCCTGACCGCGAGAGGGCTCTTCAAGACCAGACGAGACTGCGTCAGTCAGATCGAGGCTTTTTCAAGAAACAACGATGCCGAAAGACGACGACGAGTTGGGCTGGGAAAAGAAAAAGAGAGGCCAGGAAGAGAGCTTACAAGGCTAGCAGCGACTGCTGCAGGCCAGTGCCGTGGAGTATAACATCCCACGTCTGCTCGGCCAGCGATTCCATGGTGTTGGAAAGTGTAAGGTCGAAAGAAGAGCGAGGAGGGAAAATTTGCGTAGAAGTCGAGAGCTGAGGTTGGAACCAGGAAGATTGACGATGGGGCTCCATGGTGGGGAACTCTGGAAAACGGAGGCTGAAGTGTGTGAAAGCCACAGCGGGCACTGTATTTCGGCACTGTAGCTGGCTCGCCTAAATTTTCATCGCGAGGAAAGCGCGACTTGCTCTGGTTTCTTCCTTCCTTCATCATCCGCTCGGTAACCAAGCCGCGAGTCAACATTCAGTAGATTCGCGGCTCATGAGGGCCTTTCATTAGGCTTCCTCGGCGCCGGGCGGTAGAAGGAATTTCCCTAGTATCTACTGCCTTGGAATAAAGTCTGAAAAGGTGGCTCGAATTGTGGAATACATATCTTCACCGCGGCACGCTCATTGTGCGTTCCGTGTTTCGCAGACTTTGGCTCGATCCTTGTGGGAGATGACGAAGCTCTGTTTTCTTTGCTAAGTTGATTATATGAACCGAAACAAGTAAACCAGACTACTGTCAATCCCTATTGATTGTTTCCTGTCTGCTAGTGAAAACATGTTTTGACCTATTCTGATGCCTCGTAACAATTCCTGGCGCACTCTGCGACACCTTATTCAGGTACCGACGACTCTGTAAAATCAAGCAGACCTATACCCCCAAATTGTAATGCCCTTGTGGTATCATAATCATGTCTCGTTATCGTGTTGTCGGTGAACCCTTTAGTTGTCGGAAGAGTCCTCGCTGGTGTCGACATCAGGGACCAAGGCGACATGCTTGGCCTTGACGCAACCCTTGCTGGCGCCACGCTGGCTGTTGCAGCAGTCGACGATGCACATGGCCTCCTTGTTGGAAGTGAACTTCTCGCCGGCCTTGTCAAGATCCGCGAACCAGACCTCGTGTTCATTCTCGCACTCGAGAAGCCACTTGCCTGTTGCGTCGAACGCAGTTCGTAAGCATACTTTCACTCCACATTGAACAGGGAACGTCTCGGATGGATCGCAACTTACCATAGTGAGACAGGCAAGACTCGTTGGTGTTCTCCTTCTCGACGAAGGGCAGCTCGCACAGCTCGCACATCTTGATGTTGCGCTTCACAGTCTTGGGGAGCGGCTGGGCCCAGCTCTTGTTGGACAAGGAGGCGCGGGTAGACAGGCGACGCTTGGCGGCGGCGGCGGCCTCCGACTGCTTCTTGTCGTCGAGGTAGTCGAGGACGCTCTTGACGTGGTAGTGGGTGTCGGTGAAGCTGCAGACAGCCTTGAGGATCTGGACGAGTTCCTCCTTCGAGGCCTCCTGGATTCGAGAATGAAGATTGGCCATTGCTGGATGATGATGCTTGGTGTGTCTGAAGCAAAATTTCCAGAAAGTGGTGATGATTATTTCCCCCCCTCAAGTGATGCTGATTTTTTAAGGTGATGTGAAGAGAGAGGCTTAGCAGCTTCAGAAGATCGTGTCAGAGAAAAGATAATGGAAGTTGAGGGGCTCAAGTAGGTATGCGCTTTCATCTTCACCCGGACCGCACCAAAGGCGGCTGGTGGGTGAAAGGCGGCTGGGTCATCAAAGCTCACGATAGGGGGGGATCGGTTGCAGTCTTTGGCCGGGTAGAGCACAACCTGAGGATACATAAGAGGAAACGGCTTCCTTTTCCCAAACGTCTTGGATTTTCATGTCTTCCTTTTGGTGGGTATCATTATCTTCATGCCATGGCCTTGTAAAACTGCTCCCATCTCCGTTCTGCAACACCTACAAACTCCCGTATGAGCTGCGGCTGCAGTACGGTTCCTCCATGCTTTGATATCGCCAATACCTTCGGCTCTCCCTCGCTTCGGTCCACCACTGCTGTTACCTCTTCATCACATAGACTCTCCTCCAACCTGTCCGGGTCGACCAGAGTCCAGAACTTGCCGGCAGCAGGCCGATCCGTCGTCTCTTTGCCTGTGAAGACGCCAGCTGTGCAGGCGATAGGGAAGCCGTGCAACGTCAGGGGCTTGGGGCTCTCTCGGGAGCAGACGACCATCTCGCGGTCTGCGTCCCATCGTGCGATGGGTATCGTTGTGTCGCGAAGGGCAGCCAGGATAGCAGCCCAGGCAATGTCGAAGGGGTTGCCATCGAACGAGATGAAGAAGATGTCGATGTACAAAACCCAGTATGCCATGACAACCCTTTCACCCTCAGATTTCTCTTCGTCCTCGTCCTCATCCATCTTGTCGTCTCCATCATCGCCCTCCATCTCGGCCTTCTCGGCAGGGCGGGTGTACCATATTCTCAGGTCCTCCGGGTCGACGAGGTTGGAGGAATGCAGCAGTGAATAAACTCTCGTGCTCAGGGTCTGTGCCAGTGTTGTGGGAGGTACGCCGGGGAGGAACTGCGGTGCGCAGCCTGTGGCGAGCTCGATGTTGGGCACGAGCAAGTCGTAGTCCTTCAGCTCCGAGCTGGGCATGCCGTTTTCATCGTCGAGATTCGCAGCGGTGCGGAAGTTGGGGATGTCGGAGGCGAGAAGTGTTTCGGCGCGAACACCGCAGATGACAGTTGTATCGCCCGTCCGCACAACGGCGCTTCCATTGGCATGGGTCAAGCTGGAAGTGTTGACATTGGGAATTCGGGCTTCGTTGGGTGCGCGGCCGTTGCTTCTGGCAGCGTTGGCGGGCGCGGGAGGCTGGAGGTTTGCGAGGAGGAAGGGGTGAG